AATAAAAGTTGCACTTTGACAAAAAAAAAAAAGAAAAAAAAAAAACAGAATGTAAGAATATGAAGGAATTTAAAGTTTCACCTTGGGAACTTTGTAGATCTTCTTGTATATCTGTGCATGCCAATGATCTGCTAAACCGAAATTCTGAAAAGAAACTCGAGTAAATCAATTTAGGAAGAGATTAAAAGAAAGATGTGAATAAATTAGAAGAAGAAGAACATGAAATTTCAAAGACGTAAAAGAGCAAAATGAGAAATTTTTTAGAGCAACTACGATATTCATTAATACGACGAAAGGAATGCGTATAAATAGAGGATACGATGCAATAAATGGGTCTTGATAAAAACTTTGCCGGGGATTTCAACTCGGTCAAAGGAAAATAGAGCGACCTGCGCCAACAAAATTACAAAACTGTACTATCCTCAAACATAAGATCAGTGATTACATCAAGAGGTTCCTCGAAACAGAGCATTTGTTGATCCAAGAACAAACCCAATCTTGCCAAACTATGTGCGACCTTATTTGCCTCCCTTTAGTGAAAGTCAGCCTTGTTTGGGGAATTGAATGCATAAATTGTCGACTATCGTTAAACACATGCCCCAAAGGAGGCGTATCGTCCGCTGTATTCCGTTATACACCGCAAGAACTAGTTGTGCATCTCCTTCAAACTCCACCGACTCGGCATGCATATCCCATGCAAACATCACTGCGGATCGAGCTGCCACCATCTCCGCCAGTAGTGGCGATGAGATACCAAATAAGATTTCAGTTTTTAATTTAGATTTCAATTAAATAAAAACAAAAACAAAAACAAAAGACGAAATAATGATTATCACACCATCCTTTACTAAGGGAAATACAAGATGGTTGAGGATCCACGATTACATTTCAGAACACAATGTGAACAAGTATTTTACGCACACAAGGACAAAAGGTCAATTTACTAATAATAATCTTATAGGTCTATGTCAAAATATTTTGCAAGGCACGTACGACGTTGATCATTTTTGGAGCACTGAAATACCTAAAAACACCACTCTGTGTACCACCTTAATTAGTATATAAACTGCAGAGCAAGTCAACTATTTCAGTATATCAGCTCATCATCATATCCTTTACCAAATCCAACCCTAGCTTCCTCTCTAATACGCTAGCAAGTTACCCATGGAGTTTCTTAACATGAAGGTGTGGAAATGTATGTACTTGGGTTTAATCCTCATGTTGGGAGCTTGGTCTTCTCAAGCCACTTCGCGCAGTCTGCAAGATGCAGCAATGTATGGGAGATACGAGCAATGGTTGGCTCGTTATGGTCGCGTGTATAACAATGTTAATGAGAAGGAGACTCGTTTCAAGATATTTAAGGAAAATGTGGCGTTTGTAGAATCTTCTAATAAGGATGCAAACAAAAATTACAAATTAAGTGTCAACCAATTTGCAGACCTTACAAATGAAGAGTTCAAAGCATCAAGAAATGGATTCAAGGGCCATGAGTATTCCACAAAGACAAATTCTTTCAAATATGAAAAGGTGACTGCAGCTCTACCAGCAACAATGGACTGGAGAAAGAAAGGAGCTGTAACCCCCGTCAAGGACCAAGGCCAATGCGGTAAGTACATAAAAGTCTAGCTTCCTGCCATTACATTAGAGAGACACTATATATTCATCTTTTATTTATTCCTTAATCTAACTGCTTTTGATACCACTCAAAATACAGGATCTTGTTGGGCTTTTTCAGCAGTAGCCGCCACCGAAGGAATTACACAGCTTACAACTGGTAAATTGATCTCTTTGTCTGAGCAAGAGCTTGTTGATTGTGACACTGGTGGTGAAGACCAAGGTTGTTGGGGTGGCTTGATAGATGACGCCTTTCAGTTCATCCAACAAAATCACGGGATTAGCACAGAAGCTAATTACCCCTACATCGGTGTTGGTGGTACATGTAACACCAAAAAAGAAGCCAACATTTCAGCCAAGATAACTGGCTATGAAGTTGTCCCTGCAAATAGTGAAAAGGCCCTTCTAACCGCTGTTGCTCATCAACCTGTCTCCGTTGCCATTGATGCTAGCGGTTCCAACTTCCAATTCTATTCAAGTGGTGTCTTTAATGGAACCTGTGGAACGAGCCTTGACCATGGTGTTACCGCTGTTGGATATGGCGTGAGTGACGACGGGACTAAGTATTGGTTAGTGAAGAACTCATGGGGTGCAAAATGGGGTGAAGCTGGGTACATAAGAATGCAAAGAGATGTTTCTGCACCAGAAGGACTTTGCGGGATTGCTATGTCTGCCTCTTACCCCACAGCTTAGTTAATTAAATCAATGCCTACTAGCGATATGCCTTGTAGGTAGTATGATCTGTATCAACCTGTATGTGTAAAACATTTATAAGATTAATTAAGATAATTTTTGGCTATTCTCATCTTAATTTAATACTCACTCCCTTGGTGATTTGGTTTTCAAGGATTCCTAATCACACACAACTTAAATTTGATAAGAAAGATTAAAATTAGTACATCAAAAGAGCACATTTATTCTCCATCTTGGTCACCCGGTGACCAAAAGGAAATATGGTCCAAGTTGGCACTGCCCCCACCACTAGCGGAGCCAAGGGGGGGTGCATTGGAATCCCTTGACCCCAATAAGTTTTTAAATTCTCTCTTGTGAAAAAATATTTGATCCCTATAGCAACAAATGAATTATGGCCAAATTTAGTGGGTCATTTGCTGTTTTTTGGTCAAGGGATAAGTGGTGATGGACAACTTATATAGCACAAGTACACTACTATGTGGATAAGTGGTGATGGACAACTTATATAGCACAAGTACACTACTATGTAATGTCTCGTACAATAAGAATACATGAACAAAAATTTACATGTTCTTATTTTATTAGTACATGACGCCACTGCGACAATTTACTCATTCTCGTGTCTCCAGATATCCTAGTTTATTGCAAAAATTGAAAAACCTTTTCTTTTCCCTTTGAACTACATCCATAAACCAATAACTAGACCTTCGAAGGAACCACCATCCACAGTAACATTATTAATATTTTAACTACTTACTAAACCGCAAAATCATAATACAACATTCAGCGTTAAACTCCTTGCAACGTGATGAAGTATAAGTAAAAACCGAATAAACTAGGATAAACTACAGCACACCTTAAATATGGAGCCAAACGGAACTCCATAGGCCAGTTGAGGCAGTAGGTTCTTCGAGTTTTAGTTGCTCTGACGCAACTCTGGTCGCACAAAGTCTGCATCAGCAGTCACTGAAATGTCAACTGTAGGTCTCAGTTCGGCGCGTACTTTGATAGCTCCATGCACTGGATCTGACATGAAATTGCTGATGCGGTCTCGGTTGATGGGTACACCATTGTTCCCAGAAACTAAGGCCTGCTGAGTAAGGATGTAATCAAACCGTGGAGCTCATTTCCATGATCCCGACCGAGAATGAAACTCCCCGTGCATACATACAGGGATTCAAAGAATCTACCGACTCAGTAACATTTTCATTAATGATCTCCGAATATGAGCGTGTGGTCATACGATGACTTGGATTCTCATGCAACACTGACACTGGTTCTGTAGATACCGTGACTTGCTCATTTGAGGGTAGGTTAGGATGTATGGGAGGGGATGACAAAAGTGTAGCAGGATTAGGACTCGGTTGGTCGAGGGAAGTGTTTGGATTATGTTGAACCTGTTCAGTGGTTGTAGTATTGGGATTGGAAGTGGTTGGTTACCGGATTGGTTACCGGTAAAGAGAGACCTCGTCGTGACATTAAACGTAAATAATAGGGCAGGTGAGGATTGCTTACCGGATGGCGTGACGTCTCCCAAAGAAGATGTGAGTCCCTTAAAAGGGAAAAAGTCCTCATCGAATAGGACATGCTTGGTCGGGAAAAAAAAATTATTCCACTATGTGGTGAAGCCAACATAGGGTCATTGGTTGCTCATAACTCCGCTAGCTTTAAAACCGTAAAGCATACTTATTTGTATATTTTCATATGACCCCTAAACATAATTGCAGCAAACGAAAAGAATAAGTCAAAAACACCAAATTACAAATTGTTGCTTTTTTTGTGCAACCTCTGTACAATTATTTGTAGGTTTTTTTTTTCGTTCTTTCTTTTGTCTTTCTTCTCCTATTTCTTGTGTGCGACATTATGGTATTCAACAAGTGTTTAATAAAAAGCCTCGCTTGATATAAAGCAACAAACTACGACATATTTCAGTAGGTACCGACCAGAAGCTCGATGAAATGATCCAAAGAAGTCTTTTTGGCAAAAATTATGACTCAATTATTAAAAAATTATGGCTCCGCCTTTACACTTGTTCTCAAATTGATATACGAGCACGGATGTGCATAGGAACACATAGATGTAATCATCGTCTAAGTGTAGAGGATGTAATCACGAGCGTTTGTATATTCTTTTCACATTTTTCACACTTCTACATTCATTATTATGAATTTTTATTTATTCTAAACTCCTTGAAACACATTGTTCACAAGGGTTTCTAGGATTTTAAAAATCCAAACGACAATGTACCCATCGTCAAATTGTAGAGGATGCGGGGTCACAAGCATTTGCATATTTCTTCACATTTTTCATACTTGTGATTAATTATTATGATTTTTTTATTGTGCTTCGGTATTTTTAATATGCTTTGGTCTTTTTAACGTGCATTGAATTTTTTTAATCTCACTTATGTGAGATTAATTAAATACTATGCCTCTAGTAGTAAGGTATTTTGGTAGTTTAATTATCAAACTAACTTTTTTTCTATCAGATTGAAACGGGTTACCTGTTGATAAACCTGTTAAGAATTTGTCAGTGACCTGGTAACACAATTATAGTTGACGTGTTAATCCCAAACTTATTATTGTCGTGTCGTTTCGGATCAGATCAGGTTATCTAATTGTGTAAGAAATTGTCAGGCCTATTGGAGACTCCAAACCTTACAAATTATTCAAGGACAATTCAAGGATCCACGAGTTTTTCCTTGAATATCTTGAAACGAGTTTCCTTCTCATGAACGCCTGAGGATCCACGAGTACATTTCAGAACACAATGTGAAAAACTATATCACGCACACAAGGACAAAAAGGTAAGCATCAGGTCCCAAATTAAATGAAAGGTCAATTTACTAATAATAATCTTACAGGTCTATATCAACATATTTTCTAAGGCACGTACCACGCTGATCATTTTTTGGGGCACTGAAATTGCTATAAAAGCCATTGTCTCTACCACCTTGAGTAGTATATAAATGGCAGAGCAAGGTCTACCATTTCAGTATATCTGCTCATCATCATATCCTTTACCAAAATCCAGCTTGCTTCTACTACAATAGCTAGCTACCCATGGAGATCCTAAACCGGCAGCTATGGAAGTATATGTGCTTGGGCTTGATCCTCATGTTGGGAGCTTGGTCTACTCAAGCAACTTCTCGCAGTCTGCAAGATGCATCAATGTATGGGAGATACGAGCGATGGTTGGCTCGTTATGGCCATGTATATAATGACGTCGATGAGAAGGAAACCCGTTTCAAGATATTCAAGGAAAATGTGGCGTTTATAGAATCTTCTAATAAGGATGCAAACAAACCTTACAAATTAAGTGTCAATCAATTTGCAGACCTTACAAATGAAGAGTTCAAAGCCTCAAGAAATGGATTCAAGGGCCATGAATGTTCCACGAAGACGACTTCTTTCAAATATGAAAATGTGACTGCTGCTTTGCCAGCAACAATGGACTGGAGAAAGAAAGGAGCTGTAACCCCCGTTAAGGACCAAGGCCAATGTGGTAAGTACATAAAGGTCTTGCTTCCTGCCATTAATTTAGAGAGACACTGTATATATTCATCTTTAATATATTCCTAATCTAACTACTTTTGATTCCAATCGAAATACAGGATGCTGTTGGGCTTTTTCAGCAGTTGCCGCCACCGAAGTTGTTACACAGCTTACAACTGGTAAATTGATCTCTTTGTCTGAGCAAGAGCTCGTTGATTGTGACACCGCTGGTGAAGACCAAGGTTGTGAGGGTGGTTTAATGGACGATGCGTTTCAGTTCATCGAACAAAATCACGGGATTAGCACGGAAACAAATTACCCGTACAACGGTGTTGATGGTACATGTAACACCAAGAAGGAAGCCATCATTGCAGCCAAGATAACTGGCTTTGAGGATGTGCCTGCAAATAGTGAAAAGGCCCTTCTAACCGCTGTTGCTCATCAACCTGTTTCCGTTGCCATCGATGCTAGCGGCTCCGACTTCCAATTCTATTCAAGTGGTGTCTTCACTGGAACTTGTGGAACGAGTCTTGACCATGGTGTTACCGCTGTTGGATATGGCGTGAGTGACGACGGGACTAAGTATTGGCTAGTGAAGAACTCATGGGGTGCAGAATGGGGCGAAGCTGGGTACATAAGAATGCAAAGAGATGTTGCTGCACCTGAAGGACTTTGTGGGATTGCTATGTCTGCCTCTTACCCCACAGCTTAGTCAATTAAATCAATGCCTACTAGCTATATGCCTTGTAGGTAGTCTGATATGTATCAACCTGTATGTCTAAAATATTTATAAGATAATTATGATAATTGCATGGATATTTCTCATCGTAATCACGCACTTTTAAATTTGATATGAAAGATTAAAATTAGGACAGCAAAAGTACACATTTATTCTCAGGTGACCAGAAGAACATATGGTCCAAGTTAGCATTGCCCTCCCACTAATCAAAAGAATTGCTTTCAAACATCCATTCAGGCAGCTGTTGGGCTTTTGCAGCAGCGGGAGCCGTAGAAGGAATTACTCAGGTTACAAAAATTGAAAACTACATCCGTAAACCAATAACCAGACCTTCTAAGGAACCACCATCCGCAGTAACATTATTAATATTTTAACTACTTCGTACTACCGCAAAATCACAACACAACATTCAGCGTTAAACACAACTTGCAATGTGATGAAGTACACATGATCAGTAAAAACAGAACAAACTAGGACAAAGTACGGCACACCTTAAATATGGAGACAAACGGAATTCATAGGCCAGCTCAGGCAGTAGGTTCTTCGAGTTTTAGTTGCTCTGACGCAACTCTGGTCGCACAAAATCTGCATCAGCAGTCACTGAAATGTCAACTGTAGGTCTCAGTTCGGCACATACTTTGATGGCTCCATGCACTGGATCGGACATGAAGTTGCTGATGAGGTCTCGGTTGATGGGTGCACCATTGTCCACAGAAACTAAGGCCTGCTGAGTAAGGATGTAATCAAATCGTGGAGCCCATTTCCTTGATCCCAACCGAGCTGTTGTTGAACAGTTATCAACCATGAAAGAAACTCCCCGTGCGTGCATAAAAGGATTCAAAGAATCCACCGACTCAATAACACTTTCATTAATGATCTCCGAATATGAATGTCCTTTCTTCCTCAATACTTCGATCTGAAAATTAATAAAAAGCAATTAAAATCAAATGCAGAAGAAATTATCCCCAGTTACTAACAAAATCATTTATTTCTATTACATTTACGACAAAGATAAAATAACATCACAGCATTTATGTTCCAAGGATCTGAAGGTTCAATTGATAGAAAGAAACCTATAATTTGCATTACGAAACAATACGCGTGTTCATTGTTTAGTTGATGACCTAAAATATATATTTGAAGTAGATGTTTCATGATTTTGAGTAGATACATAGACAGAAAAATAACCCTTTACAAAATCCACATTCTTAACTATAGGTCTAAACCTGATATGCATCTTAATCAGAGAAAAGTAAAAACATCAAACTATTTTCATATACCAATCTTTTGTTGCCAATATTTTAATATTTTTAGGCACACAATTGCTATTCGGACTGTTTAATTAACTTAGTCTGGTGTCAATATAAAGTCAACGACGAACGTTATTAATTTTGGCAAGTTAAGCAACTCGGAAAAATCCCATTCATGTGTAAGCAACTCGGAACAATTGCTTGTTGGAAGCTAATTTCTTCTTTTGCAATGTCACATTCTCACCCATTCTGAAGGGGTTAGGCTCGTACCTGCGCCATCATTAAGGCAACAAAAACACCCGCAGTGAAAGGGTGTAATGGGCCTAGATCACCAGCTGGCCTTGTTGATCTGACACGCTCACCGACTTTCCACATGCGGGTCTGATCAATTTTACCCATTGGGAATGCAGGCAGACCCTCCTTCTCCTGCAACAAAGGTATGTTCATTATCAATTGCATGACATTAATATTCGTTTACTTAAAGTATTAAAAGAACTATGACTCTGAGAATCATGTACTTCTAAACAACAATAATCAAAATTTGGGCTTTCACCAATTGAAAACAGATGGAGAACATACATAAAAGCGACGACCGGCCAAGACAACACTGCGGATCTCGCTGCCACTGGCAACATCTTCATAGCATTCATACAAGATGTCCATGCATGGATAAAATGAGGCGCTATATGCAGCCTCAAATTCCTTTTTGCCATCTTCAGACAAAGAGTTGTAAATCTCTAACATTCCCTGTTGGGAAAAATAATAAAAACAATGACCACTTGTTCTTAAATTGACAAGCACAGACGTGCAAGGAACACACAGATGTAAACTACAAATAATGAAATTCATGTGTGGGCAGTACCTTAGTCGAGATGGTCCTTGACACAATTCCAGTTATACATTCAACAGTGTTTTTATAAGCCAAATCCTCACTCATTCCATTTTCAGTGTACATTCTAAACAGGGACTCCACAATTCCATGAACAGCACCAAGTAATATGCCTACAAAGCAGAGAAGAAGAGATGAGATATCAACTTTACTGGATTCAAAGCATAAGCAAAGAAAAAAGAAAGAAAGTTACGATGTAGCGAATAAAACATACCTCGTTCACCAAAGATGTCACTTTTGTATTCCTGCTCTAGTGTAGTGGCAAATGTGAAAGGAGAACCAAGGGCAACTGACCATCCCAGGGCCACATCTGTGGCTCTACCATCAACATCCTGTACAAACACAGCACATTTAGTATCCAGGATATTGGGCCAGAAAATATTTAGTCAGAGAGAGAGAGAGCTGACCTGGTGGACTGCAAAACTGGAATTAATTCCTGCACCATTTATCTCTTTGCCTTGGACATAAAGTCTCCTTACAGATGGACCCATCCCCTTGGGACATACAGCAATTACACTGAAGTTCTTGGGAAAGTCAAGTCCCACTGACTGCAAATGCCCTAGAAGAAAACCATGGGAAAGACCAAGTATACTATTTGGTTTCATGTGTGAAAATATTTTATCATAATTATCGGCCTGCAACATGAGACAAAGTTAAATCCTTTCAGAAAGATGCTTCTTAGGGTAGCCAGAAAACAGGCTCGATCACCCACACACTCACGACTTCATTCCAATAGAGATTACTTTCTGTAATATGGCCTGATTCTCAACAAAGTGAAACTTCACCAAGCAAACGTTACTTAGGCTAGCATGGCAGCAAATAATTTCCGACCAGCAAAACAAAATCATGCCTAATTATGAAGATATTCATGAGATGACAATTACATGCAGATAGCCTAATACCACTCTGGTTTAATGCTAACAAATGACTTGTTAAGAACTCACATGGTAGAGAACTTAAAAGATACTTGCTTATTAACACCATCATTCAACAACTTTCAGCACATATAGTTCGCGATATTACATCAAAGAAAAAACAAAACAATATAGTAATTGGATTATCAGTACTTCAGTCTTTATTAACCTATTTTCCAAAGTGAATTATTAGTAAGTATGAAAAGTCAGTATCCAGGGATAAGAAGATAAGACATGGTTGAAAATGATAAATGGATTAGCAGACCCAAAATCATTTTAGCAGAAATAGAAGCGCTGCTGCAACTACAAGTTACAGCCAATACTTGCAGAAATACAATAACCAAAAGTGCAATTGACAGACCTGTGCAGAATCAGAGATTAGTAGCAACACGAGATCACTGCTTGAGATTGTTTCCCATATATCCCCAAAGTCCCATTCTCCTCAGTGAAACCAGCTGCACGAGCTTCAGCAAAAGAACGAGAACCCTTCCTGAGTCCAATCTGTAAAGTCACAACAAGTTAAATTAGTTAACCGCAAGACATTGAAAAATAAGTCAGTAACCATATCTTTTTTTCATATGAAATATATTTTAGTGTAAACAGAAAAGCATTTACCTTGACAACAATGTCAGACTTTGCTTCAACCAGAGAATCTCTTAGATTCTGAGCTTGAGCAGGTCCCTGAGGAAAAGATAGGTTAAAGACCCAAATAACATATAGTGACTGAGACAGAAAAACAATTTACATTCACATTCTACAACAGTAAAAAAAGCACGGAAAAGAATTACAATACGTAACCACCCCCTCTCAATTAATACTGGATTACCATAACGAATCTATTGGCTTAGAGAACAACCGTATGAATACAGAAACAGACAGCAAACCTAAGAACCAATGCAGACCCAAATACTAAGCATGATATTCAATAAACTAACCATTTAACAAATAGATAAAATATATGAGAGAAAGTTCATTCACCTGAGAACCCCAACCGATAACACCAATCTGCTTAATACCCTTGAAAGCATCGGGCAGCAAATGGAACAGATCCCTTCCTCCTCTCACAATATACTGCAGTCAGCATCAAACCCACCACACACAACAATCAAAAAATCCAAATGGAAATCTTTCTCAATCATTATTAGCAATATGCATATGGTTACAACAAATCAATACAGTTTACATGAATTCGCATAAATCGGCGGAAAATCACTGAACACTTTGGCCTCCTTTTCCATTCCAACCCTTCTATTGTTTGTTTGTTAAAGATAAGTACGGAGAATATGCACAAAAGCTATCAGGCAGTATAAAAAGCTTCCCTTCTCTTTCCCCAACCCATTTATTCAAATCCAAGCAAAACCCATCAACTCAATTTGTAAATTAACTAAGCAATATCATAAATGTGTTTGTACAAATAGACAGATAGTGAGAGCGAGAGAAGGAGCGACCTCGTTGTGACCAGCGAGGTTGATCTTCTCCTTGGTGAAAACAGAGGTCTCGAAATCCAGAGGAGGGGGCTTAATGGACGGCATTGACACCATGCCGTGGTGGGATGAGGGCAATAATTTTGATTATTGATTGCTTGAACTCCGACTGTCTATGAAACTCCAAATTCAATTGAGTTTTGATTGAATGAAAGGGGAGGAAAAACATGGAGAAGATGAGGACAATAATTGCTTTGTCGTGGTGGGATAGTTTTGTGAGGATTAGTTACCTAGAGTTAGAAAAACAGGATGCACAATATTGTCATCAAGTGGGCCACTGGGGATGCAAAATGATAAACTCAATTTAGTTGCCTACTAATTTTTTTAATTGTAGTTTAATTAAGGTTGGTAATTGGGAATTAGAACGCAAACAATTTTATTTTCCTTTTTTTTTTAAATGAGTAGGGGCATTCGCCCCCTAGGCCTACCCTAGCTCTGTCCATGGTGATTAAGTACACATGACAAGTGAAAACAAAATAAAGTAAACCCTACACAAAGTAGTAAGGATAGGAGAGAGGAACCTTTCGGACCCAAACCCTCTGGATCCTTCTTCTTTAAAGGCCGAGTCAGCGTCGTGGCTTTCCCGGAGTCAGCATCGTGCTTCCCTAGAGTTGGCGTTGTGCCTCGCTAGTGTTTGTTACTGACTATGTCTAACTGACTATGTCTACATAATAGTCGTCGACGATCATGGTTCTATAAAACTGAACGTGTTGAAGTTTCTTTATAAACAAACCAAAAAAATGAAGAAGAAAACATAGAATTGAAGAAGAAGGATTGTTAAAGAAGAAAAAGCAAAAGCAAACTGTAGAAAAGAAAGAAGATCGAAGAAGGAGAATCTGGAGGGTTTGGTTTTGGAGATGATTCTCTCCCTAACGATAGAATTTGATGGCTCTCTTCCTAGCTTTGGCAGTTTCGCTGCACGGTTCATGATTGCTTCCTTCCTTCACTCATCTCATGCAAACTCTAGGCGGGATCGTGTGCCTATACCTCTCAAATAAGTCCTGAAACAGCTCATTGGAAAGGGTAAAATAGGCACAAGAAAATATTTGATTAATTGTGGTAGTAAATATAAGCTGACTCATCCTCCTAGCATGGAATATGTGCTGAGGCGGAATGATGATCAATGAGTTTACATTGAAAATTAGAAAAAGAAAAAATGGGTTCTTTCGAATAATATTATTCTTACCATTTATTTGGATTATTATTTATATTATTTTTTTAATAATGTTGGAATCCATATATGTTGATGGACTCTATCTCTATTAAAGGTATAATATAAATAAATAGTAAGTATATCATTACTCTGGGTTATTCATAAAATGTTCTTATGATGGTTTAAACTAACTTTTCTATTTTAGTTTTTCACTAGCAATAGTATTCGCGAGATGTTGCGGGTTTTTAAACTGTATAAAACATTCAAAAAGTACTAAACACCTTTCATAAGCAACTCTATTTACAAAATGTGAAAATCTATTTACAACCACATTTACAATGACTAACATATTTACAGTAACTTATATATAAGTGTCCGAGTGTTCATATCATGGTCATTGGATTCTGGTGCGGAGTTCATAGATTTCTATGGGTTTGAACTGAAGAGTTCAATGAACTCGCTCTAAACTCCAATCAATTACAGGGCTGCTATCTGTCGGCAACTCATCATCAAGCTCAGTATGCTTTTCATCTCAACTCTCCATTCACAGAAACTCAATAGCCATCTACTCCTTCATGATCAGAGCATTAATCTACCTCAATTATAGTTCTAAAACTGAATTCAACCCATAAACCCAATTCTAAATTACCAAACAATTAACTAAAACAAATTTAGCATCAGATAACGCTTTAAACAGACAAAAAACACAATATGCAATCTTCCACCGTCGAAACCCGAAAACAGATGATCATAAAAAAAGCACCCAGATGATCAAAGCAAAATGTGTTTTACTCATGCAAAGGTTTGCATTTTATTTATACCCAACCCTCAAACTTGCAGAAATCAGACAAAAGCAAAAATTAAGATGTAGATATGTCCTCAAATATACCATGTGGAAGCAAAGCTTAGATGTTTGTGAAGCAAACTGCGACATGAGCTGTAACCACTTGATGACTATATAAATATGCAAACATGCATGCAGCTCCACTTGATGATATGAGATGATTTGAGCTACCAAAGGAAAATGTTACTGGGGATATCCAAATGTCATCTTTAAGATCAAAGTGATTTCAAAATAAATTTACTGATGACAAAGTTTATCAAAGTTATTTGAAGAATGATCTGCTGAACATGTGACTAAATTATGACATTATAGGCTCTCAATGCCATACAAATTCAGGTTGTCCACACCGCATTTTCGACTATAGGAGTTCTGAAACCTGTTAATATCTGACTTAATGAAGACCTCAATTAACTATGTTTTATGATTGAAACTACACTCTAGAATTTTAAATTTTTAGTCTAAATTAGAAGACTGAAAAAGCAAAAAATAATTGGCAAAAATATTGGTAAAAGGATTGGCAGTTCATAATTATTCGGCTTGTTGGCAAAGGAAGAAAGGATGTTTTATCGAATGTGCAAATCTACAACTTTTTTATTCATCGAATGTGCTATATTACAAAGAGAAGCACATGCGTCCAGAGAATTGAATATTAGTATCACTACTATGTATTTAGTTTCATGAAAACAAAGCACATTGAATTGAATTACACAAAGAAATGGACAAATTGAAGCAGAGTACACCATTTGAATCTTCGTCGTCGTTGGAAATCGAGCAAAGTCTCCGGATGCATATAGAGATATTCCCGACGAACGCGAGAACTTCCTTGGTCACACCAAGAGCAGCACCATCTACCTTTGCCTCATCTTCTCATCAAAACTGAAGCGAATTTGAAGGGATTTTAGTGAACTCCGAAACCCTATTAACAGATGGGGAAAATATTATATTATACCGAACACATCTATCAAGTAAAAGGATGATTATTATACTGAACTTACACAGTCAAGAGCTAGGTTGCGGTGGAGATGGACCTTGAATAGGGCTTCTTGGTTGAGCAATGCTTCTTCTTCACATATTCAGCAGCAATGTCCTAAACAAAAAATCATATGATGATTCATATTTTTTTGTCTACTCAAGTTGTATAGTGTAATAATGCAACTGCAAAAGGACCAAGAGAATAAAACTTCTACTACTAAAAAGCTTTTACAAAATCATAAAATTATAAGAGTTTGAACCCTAACGGAAAGTTATATGAGTAGACGAAGTTCTTAAAGCAAGATCATAAGCTCTTGCAGCTTCTCCTCCGTATCATAGCCACCTGCAGGTCAAATTAACAGAAATTCGATGCTAAATCAAAAACTAAAATCCTTAACTATTGTAGTAGAGAAAATTCATATCAAGATAAACTACATTATTTAATTTGAATGGAATCAAACATAAACTTGAAATGTAAAAAATTAATACCTAAAGTCAGTTTTCAGCAGCAATTAATAGTAGCATAACTCAGATTTCAGTGGTAGGGACCAAAAAAAAAATTCAGTTAAAAAGAAACAATTCCAAAAAAATAGTAAGGATGATGTTTTGTTTTTATTGACCAATCTTGTCTTCTTTTTTCTGATTATCCCTTCGTTCTTGCAGTTGTTGTCCCACATATTTGCCTTATATCTTTCATTTCATCTATGCCTAATGGAAACAAAATTTAACACACCCATTTGTAGTTTTAGCTAACTAACTCAAGGAATCCAAAAGAATTCAATCAGAAAACATAAAATAATAACAAATGGAGAAAAATGAAGAGCTTACAAAGATGGACAAAACTTTTGAGCTTACTTGAAACTTTTTAGCGCTTAGTTTTTCTTAACAGCTCAATCCCCTACTTCGTAAATCTGCAAGGCCTAATGAGTATGAGTTAATCTAGAGATTTTGATATAACATCTCAGAAATTAAATGAATAATTTAGATAAAATGAAATCATATCCAAAGTACCCATAACTTTAAGAGAAAATTTGTCCTAGACCTTGGAAATTTAAACGAAGAATTCTACCAAAAAGGTAAATCAAGATTATGGAGGCTTCAGAGAAGAAAAAGACTGAAACGTCGTTCCACTGATAAGTGATGATGTGTTTTCTTGGTCCCTTGAAGATATTTTCGACGAGTATTTGTCCAGGACCAGCTATATTCAGACTTCTAATTTCAATTTTCATTTTTTATGAATTTTTAAATGTAAGTGTACCTTGTGGCTTTTGAAATTTTGGTTGAAATTGTGAATGCTGCTCTGTTAATTAAATGTTGAAAGGATTTTGTAAAAACTATACTGGATTTTACAATGCAGTTACAAAACTTAAGACCGTACAATTACACTTTTAATAAATAAATGCAGAAGTTTAAGTCAGTTACCTTGAGGACAAAGCGCGTCCAAAGGTAGGAAGAAATAGCCGGAAACCACAATTATTGAGATTTGCCAAAACCTGTTAAAAAAATTACCATCAACTCTAACGAACTTAGAAAACTATACTGGATTTTACAAATGCAGTTACAAACCCAGAAAAGTAAAAAATAATAATAATAATAAAGCCTCATTTCTACATCTGAGTCAAACTCAATATTTAAGAGGAACGAAGGATTTGTGAAAAACAAAGGGTAAGACAAAGATAGCAAAAGCATAGATTAGCAAAGCCTCAAAACGAAAGCCAAAGGTAAAGTGAAGAAGAAGACAGCCGAGGTAGATAGATTAAGGATGAAAGACGCGTGGCCAACATGGGCAACCACAACTATATATAAAACATACTTGATAGAACATGTAATCGCTTTAACAACATCATTATTAAAAAAATCCTTGGGCGGCAGCTGAAAGGCTGCCATGGTTCATTAGCGCGTATAAGCCAATAATTTTGTCCACTGTGATTATTTGTTACATCAGCATTTGTTTAGAATTCACAAACGCATGAAAAATTTATAGGAACATAAAAATTCCAGAACAACGAAAAAATATGCATGTATTGCGAACTCTATGTACACTCTTACATGCGCAAAAGAAGACAAAAAAAAAAAAAAATCATTAAGAGCTCTTAGATGCACAAACCAACAAAGAATCAATCAGATATAAGATGATGTTAACGATTGAGACAAAACTTAATTTAGTTGTCTATCAAATTTTTTTAATTGTAGTTTAATTTGGGCTGGTAATTGAGAATTAGAATGCAAATATTTTGTTTTTTAATTAAATGATTGGGCGCATCCGCTCTCTAGGCCTACACTAGCTCTGTCCATGGTGATGAAGTTGATAAGTGAAAACAGAATAAACCCTACACAAAGCAGTAAGGATAGGAGAGAGGATCCTCTCCAGATCCTTCTTCTTTAAAGGCCGCATCGTGGCTTTTCCGGAGTCAGTGTCGTGCTTCCCTGGAGTTGGCATTGTGCCTCGCTGGCATTGGTTACCAGCAATGTTGACGTAATAGTCGCCAACGATTGTGGTTCTATAAAACTGAGCTTGTAGAAGTTTCTCTATAAACAAACAAAAAAAAAAAAATGAAGAAGAAAACGCATAATTGAAGAAGAAGAAGCAGAAGCAAAACTGCAGAAAATAAAGAAGATCGAAGAAGGAGGATCCGGAGGGTTTGGTTCCGGAGTGGATTATCTCCCTAATGATAGAATTTGATGGCTCTCTTCCTAGCTTTTATGGTTTCACTGCACGGTTCATGATTGCTTCCTTCCTTCACTCATCTCATGCAAACTCTAGGCGGGATCTTGTGCCTATACCTCTCAAAGAAGTCCCGCAACAGCTCATTGGAAGGGGTAAAATAGGTACAAGAAAAGATTTGATTAATTATGGTAGTAAATATGGGCTGACTCATCCTCCTCGCGTGGAATGTTTGTTGAGGCGGAAGGATGATCAATGAGTTTACATTGAAAATTAGAAAAAAAATGGGTTCTTCAAATAATATTATTCTTATTATGTATTTGTACTATTATTTATATCATCTCTCTAATAGAAATTAGATCTATATATATTGGTGAACCCTACCTTTATTAAGGGTATAATACAAATAAATGGTAAGTATCGCATTACTTGGGTTATTCATAAAATATTCTTATGATGGTTTAAACTAACTTTTCTATTTCACTTTTTCATTTTCAGTTTTCATTTTTTAACAACTGAAAATTGAAAATAGTTATTAAATGAGATTTTAATTTTCATCAAATTTTAAATAAGTGAAAACAAAGCCGCAAATAAGTAAAAACAAAACTAAAAATGAAATAATTATTAAACTGCCATTTGAGTAAGTAAATCCAACATGGTTGATTATCGACGTACATATTTCAAAACCCAATATAAACAAGTATATTAAGCACCCAAAGGACAAAGGCCCCAAATTAAATGAAGGTCAATGAAGGAAAAGGATCCTCGCTGGATCCTTTTCTTGGGGATCTAAGAGATCCCGTGATCGTAATCATTCATCGTATATCGTACGGTTAGAAATTATTTTAAAATTTAAAATTAAATATAAATAGTACTTAACGAAAACTGATCACACAATGTATAATAAACGGTCATGATCACAGGATCCTAGAATTCCTAGGAAAAAAATCCTCGCCGGATCATTTTCCGTCAATATGAACAAGCATCAAACATATTTTTTAAGGCACGTACCATGCTATGATCATTTTTTGGAACACTGAAATAGCAAAAAACGCCACTCTCTGTACCACCTTAATTAGTATATAAACTGCAGAGCAAGTCTACCATTTATGTATGTCTGCTCATCATCATATTTTTACTTTATCCAACCCTAGCTTCCTCTCTAAAACGCTAGCTAGCTACCATGGAGTTTCTTAACATGGAGGTGTGGAAATGTATGTACCCGGCCTTGATCATCATGTTATCAATGTACGGGAGATACGAGCAATGATTGGCTCGTTACGGCCGCATATATAACTACATCAATGAGAAGGAGACTCGTTTGAAGATATTCAAGGAAAATATGACGTTTATAGAATCTTCTAATAAGAATGCAAACAAACCTTACAAATTAATTGTCAATCAATTTGCAGGCCCTTACAAATGAAGAGTTCAAAGCCTCAAGAAATGGATTCAAGGGACATGAGTGTTCCACAAAGACAATTTCTTTCAAATATGAAAATGTGACTGCAGCTTTACCAGCAACAATGGATTGGAGAAAGGAGCTGTAACGCCCGTTAAGGACCAAATGCGATAAGTACATAAACGTCTTGTCATTAATTTAGAGAGACACTATATATATATATATTCATTTTTATTTGTTCCTTACTTTAATTACTTTTGATTCAAATCAAAATACAGGATGTTGTTGGGCTTTTTCAGCAGTGGTCGCCACCGAAGGAATTACACAACTTACAACTGGTAAATTGATCTCTTTGTCTGAGCAGGAGCTCGTTGATTGTGACACCACTGGGGAAGACCAAGGTTGTGAGGGTGGCTTGATGGACGATGCGTTTCAGTTCATCCGACAAAATCACAGGATTAGCGCATAAGCTAATTACCCCTACAACGTTGTTGATGGTACATGTAATACCAAGAAGGAAGCCAGCATTGCAGCCAAGATAACTGGCTTTGAGGACGTGCCTGTAAATAGTGAAAAGGCCCTTCTAACCGCTATTGCTCATCAACCGGTTTCCGTTGCCATTGATGCTAGTGGTTCTGACTTCCAATTCTATTCAAGTGGTGTTTTCACTGGAACTTGTGGAACGAGTCTTGACCACGATGTTACTGTTGTTGGTTATGGTGTGAGTGACGATGGGACTAAGTATTGGCTAGTTAAGAACTCGTGGGGTGCAGAATGGGGCGAAGCTGGGTACATGAGAATGCAAAGAGATGTTTGCTGCAGCTGAAGGACTTTGTGGGATCGCTATGTCTGCCTCTTACCCCATAGCTTAGTTAATTAAATCAATGCCTACTAGCTATATGCCTTGTAGGCAGTATGATATGTATCAACCTGTGTGTGTAAAATATTTATAAGATAATTGTTGGGTATTTCTCATCTTAATTTAAGAGACTCACTTCCTTGGTGATACGATTCTCAAGAAATCATGATAACACACTGTTGACCCTAAAAATTACAAAGCATACGTGGCGTGCAGGCCGAGTACCTAATGAGCTAACTACTTCCTTCGGTTGATGCGGGGCGTGCCAACTCATCGGCCAAGCCTAGCCGAGGAGTACAATTTATTGATGTTGCGTTGAGCGCATTGCTGACTTCTTGATCTTGCGATTGTGGCCGAGGAAGGAACAAGTCTCGGCCTTTGGATTCTCGAGCCTGAAGACAAGGCTGCTAGTTCTCCGAAGTTCACGAATTATCGGCACCGGATTCGGTCACAGTGATTATATTCGTGAGAGTATAAGCACGTCGAATCGACACCAGACTATATGGACACAAGTACTCAAAGGAGATGTATGTCTTGATGGTAAATGTGGTTCGGCCGTCAGAATGCCGAACTCTGAAACTCACTTGTGAGTATCCAATCATAAAATCACTCGGCGTTCAATGTGCCGAATGTCATAACTCATAACACCTTACTTCGCCGGGAAGGCTAATAAGATGACCTCTGCCAATAAGGATTCGGAAACCCTTCTCGACCGAGACTTAGATAGGTAACCAGTCGACCTCGACACAGTGTTATTTATCCAAACTGAAGGTGCTCCTCGGTCGACTGATTCTACGGCAACATTGCTGTTTATCGAAATTGAAGATGTGTCAGCGAAAAAAGAAAATAAAAAATCTTAAGATGTTTGAGAGGTTTGCGCAGGGCAGTTGTAAGTCGAATTGGAGAGAGACTCGAATTGTGCACTTTGCTCTCTATTTATAGAAACAAATCCTCTTAAGATCAAGTTGAAACCACATTCAGATTAGGACTTCTTATTCTGATCCAACTTTATCTCGACCAATCCTACTCTTATTAGGACTTTGAACTCACCCCCTTTTTTAAGCCGTATTCATTGCCGGCCAAGAATCCATATTGCATTAGAACCTCTTATCGTATTGGGACTTCGACCTATCCGTTCATCCAAATCACTCATTCTTGCAATAAGACTCGACCACCTTCACTGAACGACCCAGGACCACTAGGCAGCCCATAGTACATTTGGAAAAGCTTTGGGTCGAACATAAACCTACGCTCGGCCCAATAATATTATTTTGGGCCCAAACACACACTTTTAGATTTGATATAAAAGATTAAATTAGAACACCAAAAGCACACATTTATTCTCCATCATGGTCAACCAGTGACCAAAACAATATATGGTCTGTGTAGCATTGCCCTCCGACTCATTAAAAGATTGCAATCAACATCCATTCAGGTAGCTGTTGGGCTTTTGCAGCCATCGAAGCTGTTGAAGGAATTACTAATCAACTTACAAATGGTCAATTAACTTTGTCCGAGCAACAAGTGGTTGATTGTGATATCCACGGTGAAGACCTAAGTTGTGGTGGTGTCTACCTTGACCGTGCTTTTGAGTTCATCAGTCAAAACCATGTGATTAGCTCCACAAGGAATTAGAACTATACCGGTGTTAGACGATACATGTAACACCCAAGCCCCTCATACAGCCAATATAACTGGCTATGAAGGCTTGCTAATCAACCTGTTTCTAGTTCCACGTCTTCATTTTAATGGCGCAATATGCCATTGTGACAATATATCTGTGTCATATAAGTCATATATTATTGTGTCTCAGATTTTATCCAAAAAAGAATACCACTTTTAGAATTGCAAAAATTGTGAAATGGCTTCAAGGGGCATGTATAAACCAATAAACAGACCTTCGAAAGAACCACGAACATTGTTAATATTTCTGAAAATATGACTTTAGCCTTTGAAACTTAATTTTTTACACATAAAACCCGATATAAGATTTTTACTCGAATAAAACCTATTAACTATATTTCACATCAGCAAATTCATTACGTATGTTTGACTCAAATATTTTAACTACTTGTTACCACCGCATAATCATAATACAACATTCAACGTTAAACGGAACTTGCAATGTGATGAAGTACACATGATAAGTAAAAACAGAATAAACTAGGACAAACTACGGCACACCTCAAGTATGAAGCCAAACGGAACTCCATGGGCCAACTCAGGCAGTAAGTTCTTTGAATTTTAGTTGCTCTGATGCAACTACAGTCGCACAAAGTCTGCATCAGCAGTTACTAAAATATCAATTGTAGGTCTCAGTTCGGCGTATACTTTGATGGCTTCGTGCATTAGATATGACATGAAGTTGCTGATGATGTCTCAGTTGATGGGTGCACCATTATCCACATAAACTAAGGCATGCTGAGTAAGGATGTAATCAAATCGTGGAGCATACTTCCTTGATCTCAACCGAGCTATTGTTGAACAATTATCAACCATGAAAGAAACTCCCCGTGCATGCATAAAAGGATTCAAAGAATCCAGCGACTCCATAACACAACCAATTTCCAATAAACTCTCTAACAACTTATGCTGACATGGCACTCCAAATACTAATAGCCGAACATCAGATGTTGACATGGCACACACTACTAACAACTATATTCAACATCCCCCCTTCAATGTCAACTAGGATTTCCTAGCTTAAGATTGTAAAAGTGTTTAACAAATGATGGACAATGTAACCCTTTTGTCAAGATGTTTGCAATTTGATCTTCAGTGGGAATATACAAAACCTCAAAATCTCCTTGTTGAACACATTTATGAACCAAATGATAATTAGTATCCAGAAGTTTTATTCTAGAATGGAATGCTAGATTAGCACTGAGAGAAATTGCAGACATATTATCATAGTGAATACTTGGTGGATGAGACAAGAAAACTCCCAAATCCTTCAGTATATTCCTCACCCAAGCTATATCAGCAGCAATATGTGCAAGTGCTTTGTATTCAGCCTTAGTAGAACTTCGAGAAACTGAGGTTTGCTTCTTAGATTGTCATGAGATAGGATTATTACCTAAGAACACAACAGAACCAGTAACCGACCTCTTTGTGTTCAAATCAGCTACCCAATCAAAGTCTGAGAAAGCATTTAATTGAGGTAGTGTTGATGCAGAATATAAGACTCCAGTATCCATTGTCCCTTGTAAGTATTTGAGGATCCCTTTCACAACTCCAAAATGAAATTCAGTAAGTGATGACAGGAACTAACAAACAGTATTCACTGCATAGGCAATGTTTGGCCTACTAAAAGTCAAGTATTGCAAAGAGCCTACTATACTCCTATACAAGGTTGGATCTATCAACAAAGTACCTTCTAATTCCAGCAATTGATGGTGTGGTTTACATGGAGTTTGAGTTGGTTTACATGTCTCCATACCAACTTTATGAATCAAATCCTTGATATATTTAGACTGATTTACAAAAATATCACTATTGTCCTTGTATTAAATTTGTAGGCCCAAAAAAAATATGTGAGCTTGCCCATATCTTTTAAATCAAACATTGCAGATAGCTCTTGAATCACCCATTGTATCTTCTCAGAATTAGAGCCAGTTAATATGATGTCATCAACATATAATAAGAGGATGATTATATCAGACTCATCTTGTTACATAAACAAATTAGTAGTAGAAGTTGAGGCACAGAATCCCAATGCTCCTAGATAGGTTGTGAATTTTGAATTCCAAGCTCTCGGAGCTTGTTTCAAACCATATAATGATTTAACAAGTTTGTAGACATATGTGGGATGAGATGCATCAACAAATCTTTAAGGCTGCTTCATGTATACTTCCTCTTGTAAATCCCCATGAACAAAGGCATTTTTAATGTCCAATTATCTAAGATTCTAGTGATTCATAGTAGCCAAAGCTAAAACAATCATTACTGCAGTGTGTCGAACAATAAGACTAAAAGTGTCCATATAATCAATGCCATGTTCTTGAGAAAACCCCTAAGAAACAAGTCGTGCTTTATATCTTGAGATTGTACCATCTGGATTCTTCTTTACTTTATAGACCACTTGCTTCTACCTATAGCTCGATCTTTTGGAGATGGAACCAAAACCCAAGTTCCCTGAGCTCTTAATGAATCATACTCTTCCTGCATTGCTACTTGCCATTGTGGGATTGTTGATGCCCTTCTAAAAGATGATGGTTATTTTATATCAAGTATTTCATATAAGAATGAATATCCACTAGTGAATGGATCTTCCTCAATAATTTTTAAAGAATGAAGTTCAGGAAATGAGACTAGCAAAGCAGCATAATTCTTTCTGTCAATAGCACCACTTTTTAATCTAGTGGTCATGGAATGTGTAAAATCAGGAGCAGAAAGATATGGTTTAAGAGTAGGTGAAAGTGGAAAAATTACATCAAGTTGAGTGGTTGAGTGGACATGCAACATTGATGTTCTACCTGAAGGAGAAGAAGAGTGATGATTTGTATGATGTAACTGCAAACTGTTGTCATTTAATTCTGACACATGTTAATCACTGTTATTTGGAACAAAGTCACTATTCTCTGAATTTGCATTTCTTTCATTAACAGAATAACTGCTTCTGTCATCAGTACCTGAAGATTGACTCATTTTAGACACTAATATATCTCTTCTTTCTGAAACTAAGGCACTGTTCTTTGAATTTGCATTTCTGTCACTAACAGAATGACTGCTTCTGGAAACATGATTTGATGCATGTGTATTCTGAGATATTCATCTTGGTACATTGACTTGTACAATTACATGAGCAATTGAACTTTTCTATGTTTCCCTTGAACCATGAGTATCACATACTTGCCTCAATGGAAAAACAATTTCATCATCAATTACATTTCTGAAGATGATAAACTTTTTTGTTTGAATGTTGTAGCACATTACCTCCTTATACCTAGTAGCAAATCCCAAAAATACACATTGTATTGATCTTGGTTGTAATTTGTTCTCATTAAAAAGTCTGAGAAGAGGATAGACAACTGTTCCAAAAACTTTTAATGAATGAATATCAAGATTACATTTGAACAGAACCTGATAAGGAGATTTCATACCTAAATTCTTGCAAGGCATTCTATTTATCAGAAAAGCAGCATGGGAACAACTCTAATACCAAAAATAATTTGCTAGTTTTGCATCTAACATCAAATTGATAGCTGTCTCCACAACATGCCTATGTTTTCTCTTAGCTAGGCCATTCTGTTGTGGTGTGTGTGGACAAGAAGTGAGATGAACAATGCCTTTACTATTTATGAATTTATGAAACTTTTTACTCATATATTCACCCCCACCATTTGATTGAAAATACTTAACAGTAGCATTAAACTGTGTAGCAATGAATGCAAAGAAGTTGCAAAATATTGAAAAAGCATCAAATTTATTCATCATTGGGAAAATCCATACAAATCTGGAACAATCATCAACAAAACTCATGTAATATCTAAAACCTTCTATAGACTTCGCTAGTGAGGGTCCCCATACATCTGAATGGATCTTCTCAAATACAACACTTGATCTATATTGTTTTACATGAAAAAGGTAGTCTACTCATTTTTCCATGAATACATGTAGAACATAGTGATGGACATGAATCTGTTACAACTGGTATCTCAGCAATATTCATCATGTTATGTAATACTTCTTCAAATGGGTGACCCAACTTTTTATGCCAAACTGAGCTCTTAATCTTCTTTCCAACAAAGGTAGCACTACTTCCAAGCTTTGCACCAAAAGACTTTGAAAACACATTAATTGGAATCTAGAACAGCTCTCCATCATCACTATTTCCTTGGTACAACACCATCCCAGTTGCCTTATCCTGTATAAAGAAAACCAAATCATCACAAATGAACCAACATCCATTATCTCTACACAATTTCTTGACATATAGCAAATTCATAGTAATTTGGGCACATGTAAGACATTGTGTAAAAATAAATCATGCTATGAAGTTTGAATGATAAATGAACCAATATTTGAAACTGGCAAACATTCTCCACTGCCAACAGTTATTTTGGCATCACCATTATAAGGAACAAGACTGTTCAAGACATCTAAGTTTGATGTCATATAGTGAGTAGCACTTGTATCAACTACCCATGTATCAGCTGAAGCAAAATCATGAATGTTCTGGACACCATTTGTACCATTTGTTGTATTTGAACCTTGAGCAGTCATTCCTACAATTGACAGGAGGTGGAGAACCTTGATATGAGAAGTTGTTCCTGTGAAAACACTCCAATGCAATGTGTCCTTTCTTGCCACAAATTTGACATGACACAAATCCTCCAGAGGGTTGAGCATTATCAATTCTGTAATAGCATTTAGGTGATGTGTGACCCTTTCTTTAACATATCTGACACTCAGGAGATATAGGAGACTTGTAATTAGTGTTTCCATTCCAAGAATTGACTTGTTTGCTTCCATTTAAAGAATTCTAAGACCCACTGAACTGCTGGCATTTTCCATTATCATGAGAGAAATTAAAGCCAGAATCAGATCTGTTTCCCAAGTTAGAATAAAACCTGAAGTTGTTGCCTCCTCCATTATTTCTTCTATTATTGAAATTGTTGTAATTTGGCCTTTGGTGAAAATTCTGTTGAAAGTTCTTGCCTCTATTACTTCCATAACCAGATCGTCCATTAAAACTCCCATCTCCATATCCATCATTAAAATTATTTCCTTTTAACCTTTGTGAGTTTGAGCTTTCACCATTCTCATAGCTTTAATATTGCCCTTGTGGGTGTGAAGAATATCTTAAACAGATATTGCAGAAATGGATTGAGATAAACTGTGTACTCTGGACTCAATACTTGCTTTAGCACCCAGAAGTTGAAATCTATCATTGAAATTGATGTTTCTCTGGCAAGGATTATTGTCTTTATCATCTCAGATGTTGGTGGTAACCCAGATAAGGCAGCAATTACCAAATCATTTTCAATGATCTTTTCCCCTGCAACCACTAATTGATCTTTAAACCCCTTCAATCGCAACAAATATTTATCCATTGAATCAGACCCTTTTTGTATCGTGTGAAATTCAGTCTTAAGCTGATTAATTTTGACCACATACACAGATGCATAACGTTCTTGTAGACATTTCCATGCTTCATGAGAATTTTTGCAACTAATAACATAGTCTATGGCTTCATTTGAAAGAGTGGCAATGAGCAAACTTAACAAAGACACATCAATCTTAACCCACTCTTTGTACGCTATGGAAATTTCCTTTATCACTCCAACTTCAGGAGTAATACAAAACTTTGGCGGGCATTGTGACTTTCCATCAAAGAAATCAAAAAGATCATATCCTCGAAGGACAGATTGAAACTGATAATTCCATTTAATGAAATTATCTTCTTGTAACTTCATAGTAATCATGCCCAAAAGACTCTCGATTTTAATAATACTGAACGCGATATCTACTCAAGAACACAAAATCTTTACACAATTCAATCAATTACTAGACTTTTGATTGTTGCAATCAACACACTCTTGGCAATTGACCTTTATCGAGTGAACAAATCTCAAATCAATCAAGAGCTAATCTTTCAAACAGAAAGAAATGGCAATCGGCCTTTGTATTCCTTCAACAATCTTGCAGAAATTGGCTATTAGCCTTAACAGACAAACTTGCATACAAGAAATTTTCATTGCGACATATAGACAAACATATGAAGTGCATGAGATAGAAACGAAACCTGAATCACCATTTCTTGATCGGAAAAGCCCATCGGAGATCAGCAACCAATGATCAGATCACAGCCGAACAAACAACCTAAAAATAGAAACCGTCGGCAAATGATACCATGATAACCATTCTAAAGCTATGCTGAAAACTCAAGACTTCCGAAGAACACTTGAAAAACAAATGAAAGAATCTTTAGAGACAAAACAGATGAGAAAGTTTTGATTTTTGTATTGATGAATGCTGAATGAATTACATTTGCATAGCTTAGTCTGTTATACAAAGCTCTAGAGACTTAGCACCCAAACTACAAAGCTAACTAACATAACCAATTTCCAACAAACTCTCTAACCGCTTATGCTGACATGGCACTCCAAATACTAACAGCCTAACATCCTATGCTGACATGGCACACACTACTAACAGCTATATTCAACACTAACAATTGCTTATGTTTGCTATGTTACATTCTCACTGGAACTTACGTAAAATCGACGACCAGCCAAGACAACATTGCGGATCTCCCTACCACTGGTAACATCTTCATAGCAATCATACAAGATGTCCATGCATGGATAAAGGCACTATATGCAGCCTCAAATTCCTTTTTACCATCTTCAAAGAGAGTTATACATCTCTAACATGCCCCGTTGGGAAAAAAAAATGATTCCACTATGTGGCGGAGCTAACATGGGGTTATTGGTTGCTCATAACCCCAATAGCTTTAAAATCATAATGCATACTTATTTGTATATTTGCATATGACCCCTAAACATAATTGCAAGCAAGGGTTGTGATATCCATACACCCTATTTTACTTCTCACACACCTTTTTAACTTTCAGTCGTCGGATCGGATGAATTGAAAAAGATCAACGGACAGAAATTATCAAGGGGTGTGTGAGAAGTAAAATAGGATGTGTGGATAGTACACCCCTTGCAGTAAACTAAAAGAATAAGTCAAAAATACTGAATTACAAATTGATGCTTCTTTTGTGCAACCCTTGTACAGTTATTTGTAGATTTTCTTCTTTCTTTCTTTTGTCTTTCTTCTCCTATTTCTTGTATGCGACCTTATGGTATACAACAAGTATTTGATAAAACGCCTCACTTGATATTCCTTGGCAAAAAGCGATAAACTACTGACATATTTTGGCAGGTACCCACCAGAAGCTCAACAAAATGATCCAATGAAGTCTTTTTGGCAAAAATTATGACTCAATTATTATAAAATTTTGGCTCCGCCTTTACACTTGTTCTCAAATTGATATACAAGCACGGATGTGCATAGGAACACATAGATGTAATCATCGCCTAAGTGTAAAGGATGCAATCATGAGTGTTTGTATATTCTTTTCACATTTTTCAGACTTTTACATTCAATATTATGAATTTTTATTTATTCTAAACTCCTCGAAACACATTGCCTGAAACACACTGTTCACAAGGGTTTCTAGGATTTTAAAAATCCAAATAACAATGTACCCATCGTCAAAGCGTAGAGGATGCAGAGTCACTAGCATTTGCATATTGCATCACATTTTCATACTTGTGATTAATTACTACGAATTTTTTTATTGTGCTTTGGTATTTTTAATGTGCATTGGAATTTTTAATCTGACTTATGTGAGATTAAATACTATGCCTCTTCTAGTAAGGTATTTTGGTAGTTTAAAATTATCAAACAAACATTTTCCTATCGGATTGAAATGGGTTACCTACCAGTGGATAAACCTGTTAAGAACCCTGTCAGTGACCCGTATCCAATTAGCTAACATGTTAACCCAAACTCATCATTCTCATGTCATTTCAGATCGGGTTATCTAATTGTGTAAGAAATTATCAGGTCTATTAGGAACTTTCTCAATAGTAAGACTCCAGTTACTCTCTCAAAACTTTTTACTTCAATTGAAGATTTTAAGTATTTACCAAATAAGACTTCGGTTTTCATATTTCAAATAAATAAAAACTAAACTAAAGATGAAATAATGATTATCAAACCATCCTCAAATAAAAATCCAAGATGGCTGAGGATCCACGAGTACATTTCAGAACACAATGCGAACAAGTATATTACGCACACAAGGACAAAAGGAAAGCATCAGGTCCCAAATTAAATGAAAGGTCAATTTACTAATAATAATCTTACAGGTCTATATCAACATATTTTCTAAGGCACGTACCACGCAGATCATTATTCGGGGCACTGAAATTGCTATAAACACCATTGTCTCTACCACCTCGAGTAGTATATAAATCGCAGAGCAAGTCGACCATTTCAGTATATCTGCTCATCATCATATCCTTTACCAAAATCCAGCTTGCTTCTACTACAATAGCAAGCTACCCATGGAGATCCAAAACCTGCGGCTATGGAAGTATATGTGCTTGGGCTTGATCCTCATGTTGGGAGCTTGGTCTTCTCAAGCCTTCTCGCAGTCTGCAAGATGCATCAATATATGCGAGATACGAGCAATGGTTGGCTCGTTATGGCCGCGTATATAATGACGTCGATGAGAAGGAAATTCGTTTTAAGATATTCAAGGAAAATGTGGCCCTTATAGAATCTTCTAATAAGGATGCAAACAAACCTCACAAATTAAGTGTCAATCAATTTGCAGACCTTACAAATGAAGAGTTCAAAGCCTCAAGAAATGGATTCAAGGGCCATGAATGTTCCACGAAGACGACTTCTTTCAAATATGAAAATGTGACTGCTGCTTTGCCAGCAACAATGGACTGGAGAAAGAAAGGAGCTGTAACCCCCGTTAAGGACCAAGGCCAATGTGGTAAGTACATAAAGGTCTAGCTACCTGCCATTAATTTAGAGAGACACTGTATATAATCATCTTTAATATATTCCTAATCTAACTACTTTTCATTCCAATCGAAATACAGGATGCTGTTGGGCTTTTTCAGCAGTTGCCGCCACCGAAGGTGTTACACAGCTTACAACTGGCAAGTTGATCTCTTTGTCTGAGCAAGAGCTCGTTGATTGTGACACCGCTGGTGAAGACCAAGGTTGTGAGGGTGGCTTAATGGACGATGCGTTTCAGTTCATCCAACAAAATCACGGGATTAGCACAGAAACAAATTACCCCTACAACGGTGTTGATGGTACATGTAACACCAAGAAGGAAGCCATCATTGCAGCCAAGATAACTGGCTTTGAGGATGTGCCTGCAAATAGTGAAAATGCCCTTCTAACCGCTGTTGCTCATCAACCTGTTTCCGTTGCCATCGATGCTAGCGGTTCCGACTTCCAATTCTATTCAAGTGGTGTCTTCACCGGAACTTGTGGAACGAGTCTTGACCATGGTGTTACCGCTGTTGGATATGGCGTGAGTGAGGATGGGACTAAGTATTGGCTAGTGAAGAACTCATGGGGTGCAGAATGGGGCGAAGCTGGGTACATAAGAATGCAAAGAGATGTTGCTGCACCTGAAGGACTTTGTGGGATTGCTATGTCTGCCTCTTACCCCACAGCTTAGTTAATTAAATCAATGCCTACTAGCTATATGCCTTGTAGGTAGTCTGATATGTATCTACCTGTATGTGTAAAATATTTATAAGATAATCAAGATAATTGTTGTGCATTTCTCATCTAAATTTAATAGACTCGCTTTCTTGGTCATGAGGTGTTCAAGAATTCATAATCACACATTATTAGATTTGATATGAAAGATTAAAAACCAAAATCACACATTTATTCTCCATCTTAGTCATCCGTTGACCAAAAGAACCTATGGTCCAAGTTCACATTGGCCTCCCACTAATCAAAAGAATTGCAATCAAACATCTATATATTCAGGTTGCTATTCGGCTTTTGCAGCAGCGAGAGCCGTTGAAGGAATTATTCGGCTTACAAATGCTCAATTAAACAATGTCCGAGCAACAAGTATTTGATTGTGATACCCGCGGTGAAGACCAAGGTTGTGGTGGTGGCTACCTTGACGGCGCCTTTGAGTTTATCAATCAAAACCATGTGATTAGCTCCGCAAGGACCGCAATGCCGGTGTTAGACGGTACATGGAACACCGAAGGCCCTCATACAGCCACTGTAACTGGCTATGAAGATGTGCCGATAAGCAAAGGAGAAGGTCCTAGGCTAGTTTGGTATTGCTGTGCTTTGAAAAAAAAATTGCTTCTGTTGTGCTGTGAGAACAAGCTCATTTTTGTTGTTTCACGTTTTCAACTTTTTTTCACCCAAAACTGTGAAAATAAGCTGTTTTTAAGTGTTAACCAAACACCTTTTTCAGCTCAGCTTTTTTTTATACCCACTTTTTATAAAAGCACATCAATACCAAATCAGTACTAAGACTCATGTTAAAAATAAAAAAATAAAAAAAATAAAAAAAGGCCCTATAAGACTCATGTTGAGTTGTCAATTATTATGAATTAAATTACTTAAAAGGCAAATTACTTGATCTTCAATATATTTAACTTTTAACGTAATTCAATATTGGTTAGTAAGAATCATGGAACCAAGATATATTAGTTGACTAATTGAAACCCTAATTAAGTAAGACATCTTGTACATGCCATTGTGGGACACCACTAAGATTGAATGGTGATTTGGTGCATTCCTCCAATTACTATAACAGGTGAGATTGGAGGAACCCTAATCACTATAATAAGGGTGTCCCTGCTTTCACAACACACACGTTCAATTTTAAGCAAACCCTATTATTGCTAGAACACTTTCGCTTGTTAAAAGTAGAAGACTCTTTTGTCATCCACAAAATTCATATCTTCCATATACCATAGATAAGTAAATTGTAATTAATTTATTATAATTTTAGTTTATCAAATCCGTAATCCTAATGTCTTCTTGTTTTTCTTATGATTTCAGAAATTTCTTGCAAATCCTTCTCAAGGCTTGCTATTCTACCTATTACGGTTTTCATATTTCAAATAAATAAAAACAAAACTAGAGACGAAATAAGGATTATCAAACCATCCTTAACTACAATAAAAATCCAAGATGACTGAGGATCCACGAGTACATTTCAGAACACAATGTGAGCAAGTATATTACGCGCACAACGACAAAGGGTAAGCATCGGCTCCCAAATTAAATGAAGGGTCAATTTACTAATAATAATCTTACAGGTCTATATCATCATATTTTCTAAGGCACGTACCACGCTGATCATTTTTTGGGGCACTGAAATAGCTATAAACGCCATTCTCTCTACCACCTTGAGTAGTATATAAATCGCAGAGCAAGTCTACCATTTCAGTATATCTGCTCATCATCGTATCCTTTACCAAAATCGAGCTTGCTTCTACTACAATAGCTAGCTACCCATGGAGATCCTAAACCTGCAGCTATGGAAGTATATGTGCTTGGGCTTGATCCTCATATTGGGAGCTTGGTCTTCTCAAGCCACTTCTCGCAGTCTGCAAGATGCATCAATGTATGGGAGATACGAGCAATGGTTGGCTCGTTATGGCCGTGTATATAATGACGTTGATGAGAAGGAAACTCGTTTCAAGATATTCAAGGAAAATGTGGCGTTTATACAATCTTCTAATAAGGATGCAAACAAACCTTACAAATTAAGTGTCAATCAATTTGCAGACCTTACAAATGAAGAGTTCAAAGCCTCAAGAAATGGATTCAAGGGCCATGAATGTTCCACGAAGACGACTTCTTTCAAATATGAAAATGTAACTGCTGCTTTGCCAGCAACAATGGACTGGAGAAAGAAAGGAGCTGTAACCCCCGTTAAGGACCAAGGCCAATGTGGTAAGTACATAAAGGTCTAGCTTCCTGCCATTACTTTAGAGAGACACTACATATATTCATCTTTAATATATTCCTAATCTAACTACTTTTCATTCCAATCGAAATACAGGATGCTGTTGGGCTTTTTCAGCAGTTGCCGCCACCGAAGGTGTTACACAGCTTACAACTGGTAAATTGATCTCTTTGTCTGAGCAAGAGCTCGTTGATTGTGACACCGCTGGGGAAGACCAAGGTTGTGAGGGTGGCTTGATGGACGATGCGTTCCAGTTCATCCAACAAAATCACGGGATTAGCACAGAAGCAAATTACCCATACAACGGTGTTGATGGTACATGTAATACCAAGAAGGAAGCCATCATTGCAGCCAAGATAACTGGCTTTGAGGATGTGCCTGCAAATAGTGAAAAGGCCCTTCTAACCGCTGTTGCTCATCAACCTGTTTCGGTTGCCATCGATGCTAGCGGTTCCGACTTCCAATTCTATTCAAGTGGTGTCTTCACCGGAACTTGTGGAACGAGTCTTGACCATGGTGTTACCGCTGTTGGGTATGGCGTGAGTGAGGATGGGACTAAGTATTGGCTAGTGAAGAACTCATGGGGTGCAGAATGGGGCGAAGCTGGGTACATAAGAATGCAAAGAGATGTTGCTGCACCTGAAGGACTTTGTGGGATTGCTATGTCTGCCTCTTACCCCACAGCTTAGTTAATTAAATCGATGCCTACTAGCTATATGCCTTGTAGGTAGTCTGATATGTATCTACCTGTATGTGTAAAATATTTATAAGATAATCAAGATAATTGTTGGGCATTTCTCATCTAAATTTAATAGACTCGCTTTCTTTGTCAAGAGGTGTTCAAGAATTCATAATCACACATTATTAGATTTGATATGAAAAATTAAAAACCAAAATCACACATTTATTATCCATCTTAGTCACCCGTTGACCAAAAGAACCTATGGTCCAAGTTCACATTGGCCTCCCACTAATCAAAAGAATTGCAATCAAACATCTATATATTCATGCAGCTATTGGGCTTTTGCAGCAGCGAGAGCCGTTGAAGGAATTACTCGGCTTACAAATGGTCAATAATTAAACTTTGTCCGAGCAACAAGTGATTGATTGTGATACCCGCTGTGAAGACCTAGGTTGTGGTGGTGGCTACCTTGACGGCGCCTTTGAGTTCATCAATCAAATCCATGTGATTAGCTCCGCAAGGACCGCAACGCCGGTGTTAGACAGTACATGGAGCACCAAAGGCCCTCATACAGCCAATATAACTGGCTATGAAGGCGTGCCGATAAGCAATGAGAAGGCCTATAAGACTCATGTTGAGTTGTCAATTATTATGAATCAAATTACTTAAAAGGCAAATAACTTGATCTTCAAGATATTTAACTTTTAACATAATTCAATATTGGTTAGTAAGAATCATGGAACCAAGATATATTAGTTGACTAATTGAAACCCTAATTAAGCAAGACATATTGTACATGCCTTCGTGGGACACCATTAAGATTAAATGGTGATTTGGTGTATTCCTCCAATTACTATAGCCAACGAGATTGAAGGAACCCTAATCACTATAATAAGGGTGTCCCTGCTTTCACAACACGTACATTTGATTCCATGCAAACCCTATTATTCATGAAACACTTCCGCTTGTTGCAAGTAAAAGACTTTTTTGTCATCCGCAAGCATCATGTCTTCCGTATACTAGTGATAAGTAAATTGTAATTAATTTATTATAATTTTAGTTTATCAAATTTGTAATCCTAATGTCTTGTTTTTGTTATGATTTCAGAAATTTCTTACAGATCCTTCTCAAGGCTTGCTAATCTACCTATTTCTGTTTTCATTGATGTCGGAGGAGAGGATTTCATGTCAGTCCTATAACAGTGGTCATTAAAGGGGTATGTGGACTATCCATCGACCAATGTGTTTCCGCTATTAGTCAAGGGATAGGTGTTGATGGAGAACATACATGGCAAACGTATACCGCAAGTGGTGTTTTCTCAACGAAATAAGAACATGTGCAAGTCTGGCGCAAGCCGTGTTTCCGCTTTTAATTGCTCTGACGCAACTCTTGTCGCATAAAGTATGCATCAGCAGTCACTGAAATATCAACTGTAGGTCTGAGTTCAGCGTACTTGGGATTAGGATTCTCTCTCTTTTTTTTCCATCCTCTTCCATCTCTTTCTTTTATATTCTTTATTTTATCTTTATCTTTCTATAAAAAATTAATATAAGATGTTAACAGTGACTTAACTGTAACCCTTTAAATAGGAAGGGAAGAAAAAAAAAAAAAAAAAAAAGAATCCTACTCCCTCAGTTGATAGGTGCATCATTGTCCACAGAAACTAAGGCCTGCTGAGTAAGGATGTAATCAAATCATGGAGCCCATTTCCTTGATCCCAACCGAGCTGTTGTTGAACAGTTATCAGCCATGAAAGAATCTCCCTGTGCATGCATAAACGTATTCAAAGAATCCAGACTCAATAACACTTTCATTAATGATCTCCGAACATTGAATGTCCTACTAATTAGAGCTTATCTTTGGAACTTAATTTTCTGATATCATTCTTCTCACCAAAAAGAAAAATATATAATGTACATGAGTGATTTACAAGGAAAGAAATAAACATTAAATAACCTAATTACAATCTGATTATAAGGACTTAAAAAAGGGTAACTAAACTACAAAAAGTCAACTCTCCAACATATCCAATGCTAGAGAGACCAAAATTTTAAACTAAATTTGCAAACCAAGTGATATGTCACCAATAAGAAATAAACACTTTAATCAACGCTTAAGTAATAATTCAATCATTAATAATCACATCATTTGGTTTGCAAATTTGGTTTAAAGAATTTGGTCCCCCTAGCATTATCCCCAATATGTGACTTGATAACGAGCCGATTAATTAACGCCTTGACAATCCGTTATTTTCGTATCGTTTCAGATCGGATTAACAGGTCGTGTAAGAAATTATATTGTTTATCAGAGACTCCTCGTGGACTCTCTGGAAACTTTTTATTTCAACTTTTGGTTTTTAGTTGAAAATTGTATGTAGTTACCAGTATAAGATTATTTCAAATAGATAAAAACACAAGTAAAGACAAAATAATGATTATCAAACCATCCTTAAATAAAGTAAATCCAAGATGGTTGAGGATCCACGATTACATTTCAGAACACAATGTGAGCAACTATATTACGCACACAAGGACAAAAGGTAAGCATCAGCTCCCAAATTAAATGAAAGGTCAATTTACTAAAAATAAGCTTACAGGTCTATATCATCATATTTTCCAAGGCACGTAGCACACTGATCATTTTTTGGGGCACTGAAATAGCTATAAACGCCATTCTCTCTACCACCTTGAGTAGCATATAAATCGTAGACCAAGTCTACCATTTCAGTATATCTGATCATCATCATATCCTTTACCAAAATCCAGCTTGCTTCTACAACAGTAGCTAGCTACCCATGGACATCCTAAACCTGCAGCTATGGAAGTATATGTGCTTGGGTTTGATCCTCATGTTGGGAGCTTGGTCTTCTCAAGCCACTTCTCGCAGTCTGCAAGATGCATCAATGTATGGGAGATACGAGCAATGGTTGGCTCGTTATGGCCGTGTATATAATGACGTCGATGAGAAGGAAATTCATTTTAAGATATTCAAGGAAAATGTGGCCTTTATAGAATCTTCTAATAAGGATGCAAACAAACCTCACAAATTAAGTGTCAATCAATTTGCAGACCTTACAAATGAAGAGTTCAAAGCCTCAAGAAATGGATTCAAGGGCCATGAATGTTCCACGAAGACGACTTCTTTCAAATATGAAAATGTAACTGCTGCTTTGCCAGCAACAATGGACTGGAGAAAGAAAGGAGCTGTAACCCCCGTTAAGGACCAAGGCCAATGTGGTAAGTACATAAAGGTCTAGCTTCCTGCCATTAATTTAGAGAGACACTGTATATAATCATCTTTAATATATTCCTAATCTAACTACTTTTCATTCCAATCGAAATACAGGATGCTGTTGGGCTTTTTCAGCAGTTGCCGCCACCGAAGGTGTTACACAGCTTACAACTGGCAAGTTGATCTCTTTGTCTGAGCAAGAGCTCGTTGATTGTGACACGGCTGGTGAAGACCAAGGTTGTGAGGGTGGCTTAATGGACGATGCGTTTCAGTTCATCCAAAAAAATCACGGGATTAGCACAGAAACAAATTACCCCTACAACGGTGTTGATGGTACATGTAACACCAAGAAGGAAGCCATCATTGCAGCCAAGATAACTGGCTTTGAGGATGTGCCTGCAAATAGTGAAAAGGCCCTTCTAACCGCTGTTGCTCATCAACCTGTTTCCGTTGCCATCGATGCTAGTGGTTCCGACTTCCAATTCTATTCAAGTGGTGTCTTCACCGGAACTTGTGGAACGAGTCTTGACCATGGTGTTACCGCTGTTGGATATGGCGTGAGTGAGGATGGGACTAAGTATTGGCTAGTGAAGAACTCATGGGGTGCAGAATGGGGCGAAGCTGGGTACATAAGAATGCAAAGAGATGTTGCTGCACCTGAAGGACTTTGTGGGATTGCTATGTCTGCCTCTTACCCCACAGCTTAGTTAATTAAATCAATGCCTACTAGCTATATGCCTTGTAGGTAGTCTGATATGTATCTACCTGTATTTGTAAAATATTTATAAGATAATCAAGATAATTGTTGTGCATTTCTCATCTAAATTTAATAGACTTGCTTTCTTAGTTATCTAGTATCCAAGAATTCTTGATCACACACTATTAGATTTGATATGAAAGATTAAAAACCAAAATCACACATTTATTCCTAAATTTGATAGACTCGCTTTCTTGATCATCTGATGTCCAAGAATTCATGATCACACACTATTAGATTTGATATGAAAAATTAAAAACTAAAATCACACATTTATTCTCCATCTTAGTGACCCTGATGACCAAAAGAACCTATGGTCCAAGTTCGCATTGCCCTCCCACTAATCAAAAGAATTGCAATCAAACATCTATATATTCAGGCAGCTATTGGGCTTTTGCAGCGGCGAGAGCCGTTGAAGGAATTACTCGGCTTACAAATGCTCAATTAAACTTTGTCCGAGCAACAAGTGCTTGATTGTGATACCCGCGGTGAAGACCAAGGTTGTGGTGGTGGTGGTTACCTTGACGGCGCCTTTGAGTTCATCAATCAAAACCATGTGAATAGCTCCGCAAGGACCGCAACGCCGGTGTTAGACGGTACATGGAACACCGAAGGCCCTCATACAGCCACTGTAACTGGCTATGAAGACGTGCCGATTAGCAATTAGAAGGCCCTATAAAACTCATGTTGAGTTTTCAATTATTATAAATCAAATTACTTGATCTTCAATATATTTAACTTTTAACGTAATTCAATATTGGTTAGTAAGAATCATGGAACCAAGATATATTAGTTGACTAATTGAAACCCTAATTAAGTAAGACATATTGTACATGCCTTTGTGGGACACCATTAAGATTGAATGGTGATTTGGTGCATTCCTCCAATTACTACAAGCGAGATTGGAGGAACCCTAATCACTATAATAAGGATGTCCCTACTTTCACAACACACACGTTCGATTCTAAGCAAATCCAATTATTGCTGGAACACTTCTGCTTGTTGAAAGTAGAAGACTCTTTTGTCATCCATAAGAGTTATGTCTTCCATATACCAAAGATGAGTAAATTGTAATTAATTTATTATAATTCTAGTTTATCAAATCCGTAATCCTAATGTCTTGTTGTTTTTCTTATGATTTCAGAAATTTCTTACAAATCCTTCTCAAGGCTTGCTAATCTACCTATTTCGGTTTTCATATTTCAAATAAATAAAAACAAAACTAAAGACGAAATAATGATTATCAAACCATCCTTAACTAAAATAAAAATCCAAGATGGCTGAGGATCCACGAGTACATTTCAGAACACAATGCGAACAAGTATATTACACACACAAGGACAAAAGGTAAGCATCAGCTCCCAAATTAAATGAAAGGTCAATTTACTAATAATAATCTTATAGGTCTATATCATCATACTTTCTAAGGCACGTACCACGCTGATCATTTTTTGGGGCACTGAAATTGCTATAAACGCCGTTCTCTCTACCACCTTGAGTAGTATATAAATCGCCGAGCAAGTCTACCATTTCAATATATCTGCTCATCATCATATACTTTACCAAAATCCAGCTTGCTTCTAGCTACCCATGGAGATCCCAAACCTGCAGCTATGGAAGTATATGTGCTTGGGTTTGATCCTCATGTTGGGAGTTTGGTCTTCTGAAGCCACGTCTCGTAGTCTGCAAGATTCATCAATGTACGGGAGATACGAGCAATGGCTGGCTCGTTATGGCCGTGTATATAACGACGTCAATGAGAAGGAAACTCGTTTCAAGATATTCAAGGAAAATTTGGCGTTTATAGAATTTTCTAATAAAGATGCAAACAAACCTTACAAATTAAGTGTCAACCAATTTGCTGACCTTACAAATGAAGAGTTCAAAGCCACAAGAAATGGATTCAAGGGCCATGAGTGTTCCACAAAGACGACTTCTTTCAAATATGAAAATGTGACCGTACCATTACCAGCAACAATGGATTGGCGAAAGAAAGGAGCTGTAACCCCCGTTAAGGACCAAGGCCAGTGCGGTAAGTACATAAACGTCTAGCTTCTTGTCATTAACTTAGAGAGACACTATATACATATATATATATATATATATATTCATCTTTTATTTTTCCCTTAATCTAACTACTTTTCATTCCAATCGAAATACAGGATGCTGTTGGGCTTTTTCAGCAGTTGCCGCCACCGAAGGTATTACACAGCTTACAACTGGTAAATTGATCTCTTTGTCTGAGCAAGAGCTCGTTGATTGTGACACCTGCTGGTGAAGACCAAGGTTGTGAGGGTGGCTTAATGGACGATGCGTTTCAGTTCATCCAACAAAATCACGGGATTAGCACAGAAACAAATTACCCCTACAACGGTGTTGATGGTACATGTAACACCAAGAAGGAAGCCATCATTGCAGCCAAGATAACTGGCTTTGAGGATGTGCCTGCAAATAGTGAAAAGGCCCTTCTAACCGCTGTTGCTCATCAACCTGTTTCCGTTGCCATCGATGCTAGCGGTTCTGACTTCCAATTCTATTCAAGTGGTGTCTTCACCGGAACTTGTGGAACGAGTCTTGACCATGGTGTTACCGCTGTTGGATATGGCGTAAGTGAGGATGGAACTAAGTATTGGCTAGTGAAAAACTCATGGGGTGCAGAATGGGGCGAAGCTGGGTACATAAGAATGCAAAGAGATGTTGCTGCACCTGAAGGACTTTGTGGGATTGCTATGTCTGCCTCTTACCCCACAGCTTAGTTAATTAAATCAATGCCTACTAGGTGTTTGCCTTGTAGGTAGTATGATATGTATCAACCTGTATGTGTAAAATATTTATAAGATAATTGTTGGGTATTTCTCATCTCAACTTAATACTCGCTCCCTTGGTGATCTGGTTTTCAAGAATTCATGATCACACTCTTAGATTTATGAAAGATTAAAATTAGAACACCAAAATACCACATTTGCTCTCCATCTTGGTCACCCGGTGACCGAAAAAACATATGATCCAAGTTGGCATTGCCCTCCCACTAATCAAAAGAATTGTTTTCAAACATCCATTCAGGCAGCTGTTGGGCTTTTGCAGCAGCGGGAGCCGTAGAAGGAATTACTCAAGTTACAAATGGTGAATTAAACTTTGTCCGAGCAACAACTGGTTGATTGTGATACCAGCGGTGACGACCTAGGTTGTGGCCGTGGCTACCTTGACGGTGCGTGCTTTTGAGTTCATCAATCAAAACCATGAGATTAGATCCGCCACACCGGTGTTAGACTGTACAGCAGCACCCAGGCCCATCACACAGCCAATATAACTGGCTATGAAGGCTTGTTAATCTACCTGTTTCTGTTTACGTTGAGCGTCTCAGATTGTATCCGCGAAAGAAGCACCAATTTTAGAAAGACTTTTTAGCCAAAATAGTCCCTAAAAATTGCATAACTCAGCACTTTGATCATTGAGATTTGAAATCAATAGAAATGGTCTCTAAGTTTCTCCATCATCAATCATTTTGGTTATTTCATACAAAAATATATTAAATAAGAACTAAAATAACAAAAATACCCTCAATTTAATAAACAATGGGCCAAATGATTTGACAAAAATTTAAGGTATTTTTGTCAATCTAGCATTATTTAATGGAGATTTTTCATGAAATGACAAATAATTGATAGTGAACAAACTCAGATACTACTTCTAGTGATTTCAAATCTCAAAAACCAAAATGAGGAGTTATGCAAATCTCAAAGACTATTTTGGCTAAAAAGCCTTTAAGAAATGCAAAAATTGAAAACTACATCCGTAAACCAATAACCAGACCTTCTAAGGAACCACCATCCGCAGTAACATTATTAATATTTTAACTACTTGGTACTACCGCAAAATCATAACACAACATTCAGCGTTAAACACAACTTGCAATGTGATGAAGTACACATGATCAGTAAAAACAGAATAAACTAGGACAAACTACAGCACACCTTAAATATGGAGCTAAACGGAATTCATAGGCCAGCTCGGGCAGTAGGTTCGTCGAGTTTTAGTTGCTCTGACGCAACTCTGGTCGCACAAAATCTGCATCAGCAGTCACTGAAATGTCAACTGTAGGTCTCAGTTCAGCGCATACTTTGATGGCTCCATGCACTGGATCTGACATGAAGTTGCTGATGAGGTCTCGGTTGATGGGTGCACCATTGTCCACGGAAACTAAGGCCTGCTGAGTAAGGATGTAATCAAATCGTGGAGCCCATTTCCTTGATCCCAACCGAGCTGTTGTTGAACAGTTATCGACCATGAAAGAAACTCCCCGTGCATGCATAAAAGGATTCAAAGAATCCACCGACTCAATAACACTTTCATTAATGATCTCCGAATATGAATGTCCTTTCTTCCTCAATACTTCGATCTGAAAATTCATAAAAGCAATTAAAATCAAATGCAGAATTATCCCCAGTTACTAACAAAATCATTTATTTCTATTACGACAAAGATAAAATAACATCACAGCATTTATGTTCCAAGGATCTGAAGGTTCAATTGATAGAAAGAAACCTATAATTTGCATTACGAAACAATACGCGTGTTCATTGTTTAGTTGATGACCTAAAATATATATTTGAAGTAGATGTTTCATGATTTTGACTAGATACATTGACAGAAAAATAGCCCCTTACAAAATCCACATTCTTAACTATAGTTCTAAACCTGATATGCATCTTAGTCTGAGAAAAGTAAAAACATCAAACTATTTTCACATACCAATCTTTTGTTGCCAATATTTTAATATTTTTTAGGCACGCACTTGCTATTCAGGCTGTTTAATTAACAAGTCTGGTGTCAATATAAAGTCAACGACGAACGTTATTAATTTTGGCAAGTTAAAGTATGAAAATACGTATCATTATAGACTACTACACTCTGAGATCAGAACAGAAAAATCCCATTCATGTGTAAGCAACTCGGAACAATTGCTTGTTGGAAGTTAATTTCTTCTTTTGCAATGTCACATTCTCACCCATTCTAAAGGGTTAGGCTCGTACCTGTGCCATCATTAACGCAACAAAAACACCCGCAGTGAAAGGGTGTAATGGGCCTAGATCACCAGCTGGCCTTGTTGATCTGACACGCTCACCAACTTTCCACATGCGGGTCTGATCAATTTTACCCATTGGGAATGCAGGCAGACCCTCCTTCTCCTGCAACAAAGGTATGTTCATTATCAATTGCATGACATTAATATTCGTTTTACTTAAAAGTATTCAATGAACTATGACTCTGAGAATCATGTACTTTTAAACAACAATAATCAAAATTTGGGCTTTCACCAATTGAAAACAGATGGAGAACATACATAAAAGCGACGACCGGCCAAGACAACACTGCGGATCTCGCTGCCACTGGCAACATCTTCATAGCATTCATACAAGATGTCCATGCATGGATAAAATGAGGCGCTATATGCAGCCTCAAATTCCTTTTTGCCATCTTCAGACAACGAGTTGTAAATCTCTAACATTCCCTGTTGGGAAAAATAATAAAAACAATGACCACTTGTTCTTAAATTGACATACAAGCACAGACGTGCAAGGAACACACAGATGTAAACTACAAATAATGAAATTCATGTGCAGGCAGTACCTTAGCCGAGATGGTCCTTGACACAATTCCAGTTATACATTCAACAGTGTTTTTATAAGCCAAATCCTCACTCATTCCATTTTCAGTGTACCTTCTAAACAGGGACTCCACAATTCCATGAACAGCACCAAGTAATATGCCTACAAAGCAGAGAAGAAGAGATGAGATATCAACTTTACTGGATTCAAAGCATAAGCAAAGAAAAGAGAAAGAAAGCTACGATGTAGCGAATAAATCATACCTCGTTCACCAAAGATGTCACTTTTGTATTCCTGCTCTAGTGTAGTGGCAAATGTGAAAGGAGAACCAAGGGCAACTGACCAGCCCAGGGCCACATCTGTGGCTCTACCATCAACATCCTGTACAAACACAGCACATTTAGTATCCAGGATATTGGGCCAGAAAATATGTAGTCAGAGAGAGAGAGAGAGAGCTGACCTGGTGGACTGCAAAACTGGAATTAATTCCCGCACCATTTATCTCTTTGCCTTGGACATAAAGTCTCCTTACAGATGGACCCATCCCCTTGGGACATACAGCAATTACACTGAAGTTCTTGGGAAAGTCAAGTCCCACTGACTGCAAATGCCCTAGAAGAAAACCATGGGAAAGACCAAGTATACTATTTGGTTTCATGTGTGAAAATACTTTCTCATAATTATCGGCCTGCAACATGAGACAAAGTTAAATCCTTTCAGAAAGATGCATCTTAGGGTAGCCAGAAAACAGGCTCGTTCACCCACACACTGACGACATCATTCCATTAGAGATTACTTTCTGTAACATGACCTGATTCTCAACAAAGTGAAACTTCACCAAGCAAACGTTACTTAGGTTAGCATGGCAGCAAATAATTTCCGACCAGCAAAACAAAATCATGCATAATTATGAAGATATTCATGAGATGACAATTACATGCAGATAGCTTAATACCACTCTGGTTTAATGCTAACAAATGACTTGTTAAGACTCACATGGAAGAGAACTTAAAAAACACTTGATTATTAACACCATCATTCAACAACTTTCAGCACATATAGTTCGCGATATTACATTAAAGAAAAAACAAAACAATATGGTAATCGGATTATCAGTACTTCAGTCTTTATTAACCTAGTTTCCAAAGTGACTTATTAATAAGTACGAAAAGTCAGTGTCCAGGGATAAGAAGATAAGAGATGGTTGAAAATGATAAATGGATTAGCAGACCCAAAATCAGTTTAGCAGAAATAGAAGCGCCACCGCAACTACAAGTTACAGCCAATATTAGCAGAAACACAATAACCAAAAGTGCAATCGACAGACCTGTGCAGAATCAGAGATTAGTAGCAACACGAGATCACTGCCTGAGATTGTTTCCCATATATCCCCCAAAGTCCCATTCTCCTCAGTGAAACCAGCTGCACGAGCTTCAGCAAAAGAACGAGAACCCTTCCTGAGTCCAATCTGTAAAGTCACAAGAAGTTAAATTAGTTAACCGCAAGACATTGAAAAATAAGTCAGTAACCATATCGTTTTTCATATGAAATATATTTTAGTGTAAACAGAAAAGCATTTACCTTGACAACAATGTCAGACTTTGCTTCAACTAAGGAATCTCTTAGATTCTGAGCTTGAGCAGGTCCCTGGGGAAAAGATAGGTTAAAGACCCAAATAACATATAGCGACTGAGACAGAAAAACAATATACATTCACTTTCTACAACAGTAAAAAATGCACGGAAAAGAAATACGATACATAACCACCCCCTCTCAATTCATACTGGATTACCATAACGAATCTATTGGCTTAGAGAACAACCGTATGGATACAGAAACGGAGAGAAAACCTAAGAACCAAAACAGACCCAAATACTAAGCATGATATTCAATAAATCAACCATTTAACAAATAGATAAAATATATGAGAGAAAGTTCATTCACCTGAGAACCCCAACCGATAACTCCAATCTGCTTGATACCCTTGAAAGCATCGGGCAGCAAGTGGAACAGATCCCTTCCTCCTCTCACAATATACTGCAGTCAGCATCAAACCCACCACACACAATCAATAAAAAAATTCCAAATGGAAATCTTTCTCAATCATATTAGCAATATGCATATAATTACAACAAATAATACAGTTTACATGTATTCGCATAAATCGGCGGAAAATCACTTAACATTTTGGCCTCGTTTTCCATTCCAACCATTCTTTTGTTTGTTTGTTAATGATAAGTACAGAGAATATGCACAAAAGCTATCAGGCAGTATAAAAAGCTTCCCTTTCTCTTTCCCCAACCCATTTATTCAAATCCAAGCAAAACCCATCAACTCAATGTGTAAATTAATTAAGCAATATCATAAATGCGTTTGTACAAATAGACAGATAGTGAGAGCGAGAGAGAGAGAGAGCGACCTCGTCGTGACCAGCGAGGTTGATCTTCTCCTTGGTGAAAACAGATGTATCGAAATCGAGAGACGGAGGGGGCTTAATGGACGGCATTGACACCATGCGAGCTCCGAGAGCTGAGCCGCCGCCGGAGACATTATTACCACCGTGGGTGGCCTTGACTCTCAGAGGGCTGAGAGACTTGGAGACCGCAGATGAAAACCCTAGACTGGAGGGAGCCACATGGGTTTTGGATGCGGAGGATAATTGGGGAGCAGGGGAGAGGGCAGGAGATAAGGAGGAAGTAGCCGCCGCCATTGATGACTGGGATGCAGAGGAAAATGAGCAGGGAGAGTGAGGGTTCGGTGATTAAGCACGTTTTTATACTCGGTTGGGATGTGGCTAACGTGCGCCGGATGTTTAAATAAGCCCGCTGGTTTTGTTTTTTTTTTGGGGAATTGGTACTAGTAGCTACGATATAAAATCATTTCTCATGCTCATCCTCCCTCCTCAGTATCTGTTTATCAATCAAATCCAATCACCAGAATAAATAAATAAAAGTATTGGTTGCACTTTTTTCAGGAAGTTCTAAAGTTTTTTTTTTTTTTAGTAGGAATAGTTTTTAAAATTAGCAAAATTTTTTACGAAATTGAAAATGTTTCATGTACTTGTCCGCCATTAATTGTTTTGATATTTTCATTAAATGAAGATAAAATTCAAGGTATTTTTGTAAAATTATTTTGGCCTATTGTTTATAAAATTCAGGTTACTTTTGTAATTTTCATCCTTGTTTAATAGAAATTTTTCATAAAATGACCAAAATGATTGATGGCGTCAAACCGAGGGACTACTTTTATTTATTTCAAATCTCAATGATCAAAGTGAAAAGTTATGCCAATGTGAGGGATCCTTTTGGTTAAAAAGCTAAGTTTTAATATAGTGACAGCGTTAGTAGGTTAGATAATTAGTTTAAGTTTTACTTCTATATGAACATAAAAAATATTAGGAGGCGTTTGGTTGACAAGAAAATGAATTTGAGAATGATAAACATCATTTTTATGTTGTAAAAGTAGTATGAATGCCCCGTGTAAAACTAGTGGAATGGCCAATGAAGCGTTAGAAGATGATCATTGGAATTCACACGATTCATGTGAAGGCTTTGTGAATAATGTTAGTTTGCTTTCATTGAGAGGTGTGCTATAATTTCTATGTACTGTAGTGTTAGATGAAAGCCCTATATAAAAAGGTGATTTGAGTCATTGTATACACCAAATACCAAATTCATTTTCCTTGTGAATGACAAGCACAAAACAGAAAGCATAAAGAAATTATACAAGTTTCTTTCAATTTTCTTCTATATTCTTCTTCCTTATCTAACAAAAGTAAAGAAAACAAGACAGTTTGTTGCATGATATACTTCCAATCAGATTTCTAGATCTTGTTCTAAAGAATATGTGAGTGATTCATATACAGCATCTCTTTCTTATATCATGGGTTCTACCAATTGACGTTTTCACAAATAACGAAACCCGTCCGTCCATCTTTGATTTCATTTTCCCTTCTTGTGGACGAAGACAAGTTTGTTTTCTCTTCTTGTGTCAATTAAAAATGAAAAATAAAAGAAAACGATTTGTCCTTTTCCCGACAATATCAAACTTAAGAAAGAAAAAAAAAACAATATTTAAAGATACGGGATTGTTTATTCATCAATTCCTTTATGTGAACCAAACGGGCCTTAAGTTCAAAGTATGATTCTATCTCCTTCTAATTTTCTTTCCATTTCTTCCTTCTTATTTGAACTGTTACGGTTAAGTTAAATCAACGTTTTGTGTTAATTTCTTAATCGTTAGAAAAAGATAAAAAGTAATATGTGAGAAAATGGGAGAAAATGAGGTGAGAATGGGAGAATCCTACTCTCTTAAGGTCAGTCAACCACAACAATAGTCCATGTATTAGTTTCATGTTTCATTTTGACACTACTCTATACAAATTCTTTGACTCTAAGCAAATTTTTCTTTATGTTTTTGTAATTCTAAAGTGCAATATGATTTTTTTTAGAATACCAATATCAACTCCCAAAAAAATTGTATTCTACTGTCCAATATGGTCCTTTGCTTAGCTCTCTATGCGTGTTTTTTGTTAAATTTAGAGGCAAATACCACATTTTGCATCCAACAAAATTAGTAAAACAAAAAAGAATAATGTGGGGTACAAATTTCACACGTGTAAAATTACTTTGGTATTCTTACAGTCAAGAACCAGTGTGGTGTGAGCTAAAGGCCCTCCAAAGATGAATCACAAGCTATAAGTTTCTTAGGTAAGGAATAATTGTCAATTTTCATTGGAATGGACATGCCTTTGCATAATGGTAGGGTTGGAATCTCACGTTATCATGTCTATTTTTTGCCAATAACATTAATTTTAAGAGACGTGATGAGGAACATCAATTAAAAGTCTCATTTACGAAAGTTGGTAGTTAAAAATAAAAAGGTGTGTTTACTACAAGTTTAAAATGACGTGTGAAAATCTCTTCTTTTTTTTTTCACGAGAGATGTTGGTAAATGCAAATAAAGCTTGTGAAGGGGGCATTGCAATCCCATATACCGAGGAAACGAGGTGACCCTCCAACTTCAAGCAACCTCTCTCTACCAAATCATACTCCTAGTTAATTTTGATATTTCTATCATTTAGTAATACGATCAAGTAATATTCTTTTTAACTTATAAGGGAGAGCTCTTAGAGTTTGATTATCGTCAAACCAAATTATTGATAGCCCATTGTGAGGCTAAGAGCATCTCCAGTGAAGACCCTAAATAGGGACAACCACAATATAAAATGGTATATATAACGACAAAATGAATCTCCAATGGATCGAAAGTGAGTTTCTGAGGTATAGGAACTCATCAGATATATAGTATGTCCTCACATATAGGGACAACCTTTAGTGGAAAACGAAATCCACAATCTTGATCGTAGCTTTTAATGTTTTTAATTAATTAAAAATAGGTAAAATAAACAAAAAAATGTGCATTTTGAGTGGAAAATCATATCCACAATCTTGATTGGAGATTTTTCTTTTAATGCTTTTAATTTTAATGTTTTTAGTTAATTTAAAAATAGTTAACATTTAATCAAATTATCATGTAAAACTATAAAAACTTCAAATTTAGGGATACTAATATAAAGGGAGAAAGATTCTCTCTCTTCTTTTTTTCACTCCCTTTCCCTCCATTTTTATTTGAACGGTCACGGTTAAGACATTTCAACATCTTATATTAATTTTTTATAGAAAAAAAAAAGACAAAATAGAGATTGTAAGAGGAAAGAATGGAAAGAAGAGGGAAGAGAATCATAGTTCAATATAAACACCCTACCATTGGAGGTAATATTCTTTTAGGGACACAAAAATTCTCTTTAAATCCTTAAATGAGTACTCAAAAGTGATAGTTGGAATCTTTAAATAGAGACTTCCATTGAAGATGCTCAAAGTTCACCCCCGCCCTTTGTCTAGAACGGTAGATAACACCGTTTGTAAAAAATAAAAAGTAAAAAACTAACTCTCGTCTCCCCATTGAACCGTCCACTCTCATCACAACCGTCGAAAAATCCCCATTTTTCGCTAATCAGCAAGCAGCAAAAGCCTTCGACCAAAAAAAAAGCCTTACATTGACAATCCTAACCGTACGCTTATAAAACGTAATCTCATCCAACGGCCCCTGTTGTATCTTAATATTACCGACGAGGACACTCGTGAAAATGACTGAATGAGGAAGAAGAGCTCGCTCTGTGGTCGTCTCTTTTACAGAGAGAGAAAACCGAGAGAGAGAGAGAGAGAGAGAGTACCAAATTATCAATCTTTAATCCTACCAAATTAATTTACCAAGTTCCCATCAAGTTCCAACCCTCAGCAACCAGTAGCTTCAGATTCAAATTTCATCTCAGTGGTTCTGAATCCTGATCCCAAATCTGGAAGATGGAGAAGGAACCGGTGGTACCGAACGAGCAAGAAGAAACGGAAACTGAAGCTTTGGAGCTTGTTCTTTTTCAAGTGCCTGAATGTTACGTATACTTGGTAATATACATCATGTGCCCGAATCCTTGTGCTTTCCTGAATATTTTTTGAGTAATTCTGTTAATGGGTATCTTGGGGATGCATAATTCAACTAGATTTCTTGATGAACATTAATGCATGTATTAGTTGAATGAATGAATATTGTAGGCGTGTAATTGTCAATGTTGGTTAAATCCGGAGTAAAATGTTAATTATAATTTGTTTAATTTATGTTAAATTGAGTGCAAAATTAGGGTAATGGAGGAATAGTTTAATTTTGTTTTGCTAGTTCAAGTGTTGACAGTAAAACCCCTTTCAGTTAGTACCACTTAGTGCTTGTTTTCGATCTGCCATCAAACACATTCATGGCTCTTGGTTTTCAGTTTACAAGTAATCTTAAGGATTCGATAATGCGAGAAATGTTTGGTTACTATTGTATGGCGGTTCTTGAAGTTATTTGTGGTGTAAAGCTATTTTGTAATGTAACTTTTGCAGATACCGCCGAGGAAAAGTGCAGCTTCTTACAGGTTTTGCTCAACTCATGGAATAGAAAATAGGATATTCATCTGACAGTTTATTTATGATTAATCTGATACGATGCCATCTGTTATCATGATTGATACGAGTTATTTGTAATTTTAATTCGGTCCACACATCGATTAGTTACCTGGAAATGAAGCTTACAATTAGGCTAGATTGTATGAGTTTTTCGTAATCTATTTTGGGGATAAGTTTTCTGAGATTAAGTTAGATTGACACAAAACCAAGGAGTCAACAAATAAATAGATAAACAAATGGAGATGAGTTTTATTAGTCCGGATATTGGGTGCTTCTTAACCATAGAAGTTAGAACGAGCAAACAAAAAGAAGAGTAATCTATCTATTGGTGTTGATTACCTGCGGAACTCTTTATTGCATGTGTTGGAGATGAGTTTTACGTCTCTGAAGTTTATTTCAGGGCTGATGAATGGGATGTAAACAAATGGGTATGGGAAGGGATATTGAAAGTAATCAGCAAAGGAGAAGAGTGCATTATCAGACTTGAAGATAAGAACACCAGTGAGGATATTTTAGTTGTTATATAAGATGTAAACTGTGTTGTATGCCTTCCTTTTGTAGCATGAGACATTTTGTTATTTAAAATGTAAGGTGATATATCGTTGCAGGTGAACTATATGCTCGGGCGTTTTTGAGAAATGGAGAACCTCATCCAGTGGAACCTGTAATTGATAGCAGCAGGTTTATCCTAATTCTCACTAACTGGAGCGCATCTTTATTGGACTTCTCATGT